TATATTAACATAACTTTTAACAACATTTATAATAATATTCACAACCTTAGTTATTCGTTGCTCTAATGATAATATATTTTTCTATTAATAAATTACATTTTATATATATAATTCTTATTTATGTTCTTATATTTATATTTAATTTCTCTCAAAAAGTTCACTACACTACTAAAAATTGCATATTTTTTATTAAATAGTTTATTACTCACTTAAAAAATTATATTTTATATTTATCAATTAAAATGTAGATAACTTTAATAATAAAATTTCTTTTACTTTTAATAAACTTAAAATGAAAGTTTTATTTTAAGCTAAATAGGATGAAGATTTTATTTTAAAACTAGATAAGATGAAAGTTTTATTTTTAAGCTAAAAAGATGAATTTTTTTATTTTAAGCTAAACAAGATGGAACTTTTATTTTTAAGTTAAATAAGATGAAAGTTTAATTTTAAAAAACACACGGCACAATCATGGAAATACACACCCAAAAATGTTTAAGCTAAACAAGATGGAAAATTTCATTTTTAAGAATGAATGACTAAACTTGCAAAGAAAATGTAAAAAAAAAAAAAAAAACTAAATAAGGTAAAGGGTATTTTTGTAAACAAACAACTTATTCTTAGAAATTATGTCATGAATATAAGTTTGAATATGACAAACCAAACAAGCAATAAAAATCAATTCCAGCATAACTTATTCCAGTATAACTTATCACATCATAACTAATCCCATCATAACTTATATTCAAACCAAACGATCCCTTAATTTAGTGTTTGGTTGGAAAGTTTGGAATAACTTATTCCAGGATTAATAAATAATACCAGAATAAATTATCTCTCGCAAGGGTGATATGATAATCCCATCATAATTTATGATGGGATAAATTTATTAAATGATAAAACTATCCGTCAAATCCTTTAGTTATGAACTTCCGTCTTAAGAGTACTATTGGTTTTAGCATTGACAACATTTTGCTGGATTGTTTGGAAGCTTCAAAATGGAGATATTTTTACATGGTTAGGCAACTCTTCTTTCTGTTCTTAAATTTTTTTAGGGGTTAAATCCTTTTTTTTTTTTTTTTTTTACTGTTCTTTTGTTTTCCAAAACTGAAACTGAGTTTTTTCGGGGTTAAATCCTATCATACATAAAAATAATTAAGCTAAATAAGATGGATGTTTTTTGTTTTAAAAAATAAAAAACTAAAAACTCTATAAATATATATATATAAAACTAAATTAGAGGGTATTTTTGTAATCAAACCATTTGTTTTTAGAAAGAATGTAATGGTTATTATTTTAGTAGAGCAAACCAAACAACCAATAATAAATAAGGTCAGAATAAATAATCTTAGCATAACTAATTCTAGCATAACTTCTTGTATTCAAACCAAACGATCCCTAACAGTTAGAAGAGTTAGAGGTATACCAAAAATAGTAAGAATTGATTAAACGAACACATGACACAATTTCAACATACTAAGAATATGACCCCAAAAATATTTAAAAATTGAGAATTATGACAGAAACTTAAAAAATAGCAAGTATTTTCGACACTGAAGCAAGCCTCACTTATTTTTGGAGGGAGGGAGTATTTAATTTGTTTCTGCATATATATATAGAATTCATAAATGTAGAAAAATAGATAATTGTATGGCAAGCCTCACTTATTTTTGGAGGGAGGGAGTATTTAATTTGTTTCTGCATATATATAGAATTCATAAATGTAGAAAAATAGATAATTGTATGGCAAGGAATATACAATTTTTTTCATGTAAAAGAAGAGGGGAAAAAAAGAGGCAGAAAACCAAGGGCAAAGTGAAAAACCATTAGCGGCCGCGCTTCTTCCTCTTAAAACAATCCTCCAACTAATATAATAAACCTATTATCTTATATCAATGGCGCAAATGGGTATTCTTCCCACGGCTTCTGTATTATTATTAGTACAGCATAATGATAAGATCGACAGCAAAGCACAGTTTCGCAAAACCTATCATTCTTCTTCTTGCATTTGTTGCTCTTCTAGCAATTTCCTTGACCCGCGATTTTCATTCTGCTTCTTCTTCTGCTTATGTTTCCCTTGCTACCACTTGGGCTCCTGACAAGTACCGTATTAACGTCTCCAATCATTCTCTAAAGGTTAGTTAAGACAGCATTTGGGTTGCTTTTAGTAATTACTACGAAATTATGAACAATTTTGCATTTTGTAGAATCAGGATGCAGGAGGAAGTAATAGGGATCGTTACCCTGAAAGAGCGTTAGCCATGACCTATGCTGATTTGCCTGCTCCTGAATTGAAATGGGAACAGATGGCATCTGCACCTGTGGTTCGTTTGGATGGCTATTCTCTTCAGATTAAGGATTTGCTTTTCGTTTTTGCAGGATATGAAAACCTAGACCATGTAAACATCTTTTTCCCATTTTTTTAATTAGCTTGAAAATGTAAAAATTTGCAAGTTAACTATACTAATTACTATGTATAGGTGCATTCTCATGTTGATGTTTACAATTTTACAACAAATACATGGACTGAGAGTTTTGCAATCCCAAAAGATATGGCACATTCACATTTAGGAGTGGCTACTGATGGAAGATACATATATATAGTGTCAGGACAATATGGTCCCCAATGCAGGGGACCTACAGCAAACACATTTGTTTTGGACACACACACCAGAAAATGGGAAAGCTTGCCACCATTACCAGCACCAAGGTATGTATCCTTGCTGGCTTATCCCAAGAACACATCTCTCAGAAGTCTTTTGTAACATTAAACCTAGACTAGATTGTGTACCTTATTTCTTACAATAATCACATATGGAAATGGGGGTTGTTGATATAGTATTAGTTTCTTGTGCATCTAAAGGTGTGTGACCTAGTGGTCAATGAAGTGGTTTAAGAAACCGTGGGTTGTAGAGACCGCATCTGCTGAGGTTCCAGATTAGTATTGTCCTTAGACTTAAGTTTAGTGGTAAGGTGCAGCAGATAATGTGTGGGTTAGGCGCACATCAAGGTTTCAAATTCTGCTGCAGACAAAAAAGCCTGGTATTTTAAGTGGAAAATGGTAGAGGAATGCGCCCATCATCCATCAAGTTTGTAACTATAAGGAATGCGCCCATCATCCATTTAGGTTCTAGATTAGCATCACATCGTAGTGATAGCATATTGAAGTATAAGTACCTTATGATGAGTTTTATACAAAACTAGAGTAATGACTAGGGTTTTTTCAGGTATGCACCAGCAACTCAGCTTTGGAAAGGCAGGCTACATGTGATGGGTGGAGGCAAAGAGAATCGCCACACCCCTGGATTAGATCATTGGAGTCTTGCAGTAGCAAATGGAAAAGCCTTAGAGAAGCACTGGCGCAAAGAAGTACCCATTCCTCGCGGAGGACCACATAGGTTTGTCAGTCGTTCTTTCTAAGGCTATAGCCCTTGTTCCATTTTACTTTTATGAGGACTTTAAAAGCTAAAACTATGTTGAAGGTTAAACGTTTGAACTTGAGTAGTTTGAGAATAGCAATTCAAAATGTCTAACAGGTCCATATTGAAAATTGTGCTCTCCTTTCTTCAAAAGTATATACCCCGTTCTGAAATGCAATTTATTTCAAAACCTGATCTTGAGGCTATTCCCCACAGGGCTTGTATTGCTGTTGGTGATCGGCTCTACGTAATTGGTGGTCAAGAGGGTGATTTCATGGCCAAACCTGGCTCCCCTATCTTTAAATGCTCACGAAGGTTCGAGGTATATGTTGCTATAGTTTTTATCTAGGTTCAGTTATCTGATTATTAAATCTTAAGTATTTCTTGTTTCAGTCTGGTCAACTAAACTCGAGGTTCTGTCTTCCTTTTGATAGTTTTGTCTCAAAGTTCTTTTGGGGAAGTTGCTATAATTTCTATGTTTGTGGCTTCAGGTGGTTTTTGGAGATGTTTATATGCTGGATGAAAGTATGAAATGGAAAGGGTTGCCTTCTATGCCAAAACCGGTTTCGCACATAGAATGTTCTTGGGTTATTGTAAATAATTCTATTGTTATTGTTGGAGGCACAACAGAGAAGCATCCTGTGACCAAAAGGATGATTTTAGTTGGAGAGGTGTTCCAGTTCAACCTAAATACACTGGTATTTTACCTTTTCTTAATCATCAAAGTTGGCAATATCTTTGTTTTAAACTACATAACATACTTTTTTATGAAGCTTCAGTTAGCTTAAATGTTAGTTACTTCTCTGTTTTATTGCCTTCCATTCGAGTGACTATATAACTTATTTCCTTTTCAGACTTGTGAGCATTTTTTTAATTACCAATTTGTGCAGACATGGTCTGTCATCGGAAAGATGCCATATCGGGCGAAGACAGCACAGGCGGGGTTCTGGAATGGATGGTTGTATTTCACCTCTGGACAGCGGGATAGAGGACCAGATAATCCACAGCCCAGGAAAGTAGTAGGAGATACATGGAGAACCAAATTGAGATTACAATGATATATTACTGATTCCTGGCTACCATGTCGCTTTTCAATGTTATTGAATGTCAAAGTCAAGTTAATTTGTCGTTTGCAAAGAAAAATGTAGCTCATACATTACTACTATTCATTTTCTAAAATTTATTATTTAGGCAGTTGTATTAGCATATTTGGTGGCCTGTCCTGGGTCTAGAATTCCAATGGAAGGAAGGAAAAGACGACAAACAAATACTTAAATAGGGAAGCATCTTATTTTGCCATTACATGCTCAGCCAACTAGGCGGATATCTGCTGCAAGATGATAAATATGTAAAATAGTACGTAAAAAGAAGGGTATCCATTTTTGTAATAACCCAAAACTGGGAGATCGAGGAACTTGCTTCTTTAAACAAATTAACTAAAACACCAATGTCCACTAAAGAAGATGGAACATTATGATCCTCCTAGCCTCTTACTGCAACTAGAAAGTTTCCTTGCTAGATAGTAAACTAAAACTAGAGCAAGCAGTTCAACCTGCCCACACAAAACAAAAAGCAGAAGGGTGAACAAACATGATACCACTGATTGAACCAGGAGTTAAATACACCTGTTTCCTTAGCCATTTCTTGAGGTCAATGGAATAAAGTTTGCTTATATTTCAAATGAACATATCAGCATCATTTGCCATATTTACTCAGAAAACTGAACTCTGCTAGTCTCAGACAGTGAATTTCTGAGGAACACTGTCAAAATCATCAAAATCAAATCTCTGTCTCTCCCTTCCAACCTGCATAAGCAAGTAATCACAAATTAAATTAGTGAAAAATACAGTTGTTCTATTAAGCAGTTAGCAAAAGAGGACTTTGACATAGTTTTACCTTTCCTAGGTACATAGGATCACATGACATAAGTTCATCCATAGAAGTCAACTTTTTCGACACCACCATCAATCTGCAATAGAAAAACATACATCATTGTAGTTTTTAGATATCCTTTCATAGCAATTGATAGCACAGTAACAATAAAAGCAGGATTCACATATTGTTGGTTCTTTAAAACATATGTACACAGAGAGATAGAGATGTCAAGATTAAAGTAAATCTAATAGAGAACCCTACCCTACTATCAATAAGTCATGCAAAGTAAAATTTCCCACCTATTTATGTACAACATCTACTAAATTTCAATTTCACCCTCCCTTACTCACTTGTATTTTAGAAACACCTCCCTTGTGTAGGCACAATTGGTGCAGATATCCAAATTGCTGGATGGAAATTGGCATTCTTTTGTGCATATCATCCATCATTAGTACCATGTGCAAAAGTTCAAATTCATTCCAACTTTATTTGGAGTTTGAGATTAAGTGTAAATTCTCAAAAAGCCAATCAGTAGCTATAGCCACCACATTGGACAGAAAAATGACAGTCTAATTACAAGTAAAATGTAGAATATCCATGTCCAATGACCGAAGTAACAGAAGTCTCACCTCTTAATTGATGAATCGATGTGTTCAATCATTCCACATGTTTTATACTGCTCAGGATCCTCCAGAAATCTAACCATACCATCCTTCTGATTGATCGTTGCATATATCTCGCCATCTTCAATCTATAACCAAAAGTGAAACATCAACATTTCAAGGTTCAAAGTTGAAGACTTACACAATCTAGTAGATTAAAAAGCAGGATACCATCTGAAGCACATGCATTTCCGCCTGTTTGGGGCCTCTTAGCTGGACAGTGTTAGCAATATCTTGGAGGGAGAGAGTTAGGTACGTTTGAGTTAACCGCTGAATATTGCGCTTATACATAGAAGACACTACTTGCATCACTAATCCAAGATTATTATCCTGAAAGTAATGAAAAGATTATTATAACTTTCACAAAAGATGGACTAACATGGGAGTTTGGGAGTGGAGAGAGAGGATAAAAGAGCTTTCACTTTGCACCCATGCTTTCATCTTAGCTGCTAGAAGATCAGGAAATGCATTAGATTGACCTCAAGAAAACTTACGCTTTCAAACTTTTCCTTGTTTGTTTGAACGAATGTTTCAAGTTCAGAGATTCTTCCAGTGCCATAACTGTTTGACAACTCCAGGTAGGGCTGCTCAAAAAGAAATAAATAAGTAGTTTATGTTATATTCCACACATAAGGACCACACATGACACAGAATTATCCTTGATGAGGCGTCTCCAAAATCTCCTCCCAATTTGGATTCATTTTATATTAGAAAATATTGTTGGGATTTCACTTTTCAGAAGCTTCCAGCTGGTCACCTTATTTCTTCGCTGAGTACACTAAACAGTGACTTTTCCAATACATCAAGTTTTATTGTATTAAATCACCAAATGGTGCCACAACATGTGTAGTAATGTACACAAAGTACTCATGATCTCCTATCAAGCAAGCCATATATCTATACACGAAAATGCGTTCTTTCTTTCACTTCTATTAGATATTGATCTAATTCTTGTTTCATTATCATTTATGTAGTTTTATGCCTAGCCTACTAATACAAAATATGCAATGCTTATATTTTGAAACAACACTTGAATCAGTACAAGATTTCTAACATCAACAATGTAACGCCAACTGTGCATACTTAACTGAGCTTGCATTGTCACCAATTCATTTGAGGGAAAATAATTCCTTTCATTTTGCTTTGGGTGAAACAGTCAGTGCTACTTGGAATCAATGTTTGCACAGTTGAAATAATTACCTGAGAGAAATTCTTCAAGTTCCTTTGAGCCACAGAAGAAGTGTACTTGGGAAAACTGGTAGAGAACTGCCATCAGAAGCAAACCTCAATTTCATCAGGAGAATGAAAATCAGCAAGAATAAACTTACATGACCTGTCATATTCATTTTTACTTTGTGCATATTTGTTGTTGTGGGGGGGGGGGGGGCTTACATCTCTGCTCAAAGTGCATATTTACAAGCCAAAATCATTTAAAAAGTTGACACTTTGTGGCTCAAACTAAACGAGTCCATCGGTGATAATATCATATATAATGTAAAATAAGAAGGTTATACAGCAGTGCAAGCTCAAGCCCCAGAAAAGACTCACATAAATCTCACAAACTGTTTGTCCAACAGAAACGTCACAACAAGATAGTGTGCTGCTTAGGAGAATTGACTAAATATTATCACCAAAAGTATGTAAAAAATGGTGGCAAAACACACCTGCCCAAGATGAATCAGTGAAACCAAAATGTACTTTTTGTAAGCTTCAACTGCTATTGCATTTAGAGTAGACATAGGTGCCGTCACAACCTAGAAGCATAACAGATAGAATCAGCACAAACTAACAGATATAGATAATATACACTGTAGTAACTTGCAAATAGGGATAACAAAACCAAATACCAATAAAGGAAACATGGAATGAGAACACAGTAACATACATTGTGCAAGAGTTCCAATGCTTTGCGGAACTGCTTTTGTCCAATGCAAACCATTCCCCTGTTATTACGTGCAAATTATAAGACATGTCAACAAGTATAAGACACAAATCCAGAAAAATCCAAAGAGCGATAGAAAGATTATACATCAGTGGCTTTTAATTAAGAAAATATTGAATTACTCAATCTCATTCTAAATTGGTGCATCACTTGTGATTCACATTGCTGTTAAGAACTCTGTCTTTAGGTTGGAGAACTAAACAGTATCAAAAGTAAAAAAGGCAGATGTGATAATTGTATACCAATACCATAGGTTTTTGAACAAAATTAATTCTTTCACCAGATAACTATAAAAGCAAATATAATATTCATAGGCGAGCAAAGTATCTCCTATTTCCTGTAAAAATTAGAAAACGCACTGCTAGGAAAGCATGATTCAATGAATTATGTCTTGAACTATCCTATGTCCACAAAAAATATTCCAATTTTTTTTTAAAAAGTCACTAAGAGAAATTTTAGCAAGGAATGAAGCAAGGGCATGAAACCACCACAACTGAAATAACTTCAAAGCGGAAAGTCTGAAACAACTAACCCGTAGTAACAATAGAGAAAAAACTCCCGTGGCTGATCACACTCATATATGTCATCCTCCAGCACAGAGAAGCCAGTTTTATAGCACTTTGCCAATATACAAAGAAGAAGAAAATCGGCATGCAATGTTGTTAATTGCTCAGAGGAGGATTGCAGTTTACGAATAGCAGTCAGCATTGGAGCCACACCACGAATTGGAGTTTCCAGTCCGAAAATATGATCCTTAAACTTTTTACAAACAGAAATGACTGCAACCACAAATTGCAGACATGCCTCAATATAAGTTAGACCAGAAACAGGAGTATTCACAAAAGCTATTCCAGAAATCAGAGAAAATTACACTTATTGGGCGCCAATTGGATTTGCTCTGCAGAACATGAATTGATAAATCTAGCGACAGAAACAAGCAGTTCACTAACATGCTCCTTTGCAACTGGGAATGAGATGCATGCCTCCCTGTTAGTTAACAAACACAACCATATGAGTAATACAGACTAGACAGAGTACAAAGACAACGCCCACTTGTTACACAAATACTGGTCTTTTATTCTGTGGATGGTTCAATTCTGCATTATTTTTATAGATTATGTAAATCAATCAATCAACTATGCCTCAATCCCACATGTATTGGTATTGACCATAACAATCCTCTTTGTCAATTAGACTCGTATGTAATCTTTCTTTTCTTTTTTCATAATCACCGTAGTTCAACCGGTACCAATACCGTGTGTCCAACAAAGTTAGGGCAGATGGGAAAAAAGCACCTGGTGCTTTTTGCCTGCGCTTGAACGTCGTGGGCACCAGACCCTAGGGTGTTTTTAATCAATATATATGTATAATCTATCAATGGCTAATTTAAACAAATAATCTTGAGAATAGAAACCCTAGGTTTAGGTTATAAATAAAGAGATAGGAATAAGAGAAAAGGAACTTACAGAATATAGAGAAAGCCGAGGGAGTGAATAGAAGGATCGAGTTCAGCGAGAGAAGAAAGCAAGCGAGAGAAGTCGGAATGGAGTAGCTCTTCCGATTGTTTGAGAAAGTTGTGAAGCTGAGTTATGTCTGATGAATTGCTCGATAGCCCTTGAATTTGAGCAACCACTGATTCCATCGAATTCATGTTCAGATTCATCTCTTTTGCCCAACGGATCAATCAACACACAGAATGAGCAGATTCACGTCTCCGATATAAGTTAAGGGCTGAGGCTTCCACTGGGTCTCTAACAAAAATAAAAAAGAAAAAATTGCACTTCTTTTGTGTCGAGTTTTATTTCTCTTACATATATAATAATTTTTTTTTTTGATATTTATAAGACCCTGTTTGGATTGAGTTTTGATCTATTTTTACATTATTTTAGTTTTAAATTAAGGATTATAAATATTTTTTTAAAAAAAATTATTCAAACACTTTATAAGTACTTAAAAACTATTTTAATTTAACGGAAAAGGGTCAAAATTGCCCCCGAACTATATGAAATAGACCATTTATACCCTTCGTTACATTTTGGGATCAAAAATGCCCCTGCTGTTATCCTAAGAGACCACAAATACCCTCAAGAGTTAACACCCCAAATTTTTGTTGACGTGGCAAGCCACGTGGGACTAATCCTTCCACTTAAGCATTGCCAACTAGGATTCACTACAAAAGAACTAGACCTTTAGTGGCAACAACAGTCGCCACAAAAGCCAGAAAATCGTCACTAAAAGTTTTAAACATTAAATTCTAATTTTGTGTTTTTTCTTCATTGTTTTTAAAAAACCAAATATGATATCGATTAAGTAGGAGTTTGAAGACACTATATGTTTTATTTTTATGTCATACGTAAATGTATAAATGTACAATGATGCATTATATATATATATAGTAGGAGATTTGAATCGAGAAGTAATTTTGATTATTTTTCGTAATAATATTGGATGTTTTTAATATGGATATTGCAAGTTATTTATTTTAGAAAATTAGGTCACAATCGAAAATTAATTATCATATTTTTTTGTTGAAAAAATAGGTTTTACTAGCGAATGGTTGTTGGAGCCTTAGTCGCCTCTAAAAATCACTCATAACCTTTAGTGGCAATATTTTGGGATTTTATGGCGACTTTGTCGCCACTAAAAGTCAAGTTCTTTTGTAGTGAATCTTAGTTGGCAATGCTTAGGTGGAGGGATTAGTCCCATGTGGCTTGCCACGTCACTAAAAAATTGGGGTGTTAACTCTTGAGGGTATTTGTGGTCTCCTGGGATAACTGCGGGGGTATTTTTTATCCCAAAATGTAATGGAGGGTATAAGTGGTCTATTTCGCATAATTCAGGGGCATTTTGTACCCTCTTCCGTTAATTTAAAAATATTAAAAAATAAGCTAATTCAAATAAATTCTAACTTTCAAAAGAATGCTATTTCATTAACTAATCTATATATATTTTGATGTATGTGATATGTGATATAGTTTGAGCTTATACAAAAGTTAATAATTTGTGACAGGGCGGATATACATAAAAATTACAAAGTTTGAGTCATTTACTTAGAAACAAATTATCGTAAAATAAGTTATTCCATCGTGTATTTGAGAGAACTTATCCCATCACATATAAAATGGTGAAATAAGTTATTCCAAACTTGACAACCAAACAATACACCGAAATTTTGTCCTTAGACTATTTTTTCATTCTATACTATTTATTTTTATCCCTCACACCGAACAACCTCTTTGTGTCCTAACATGTCATATTTTTTACGTGATAAAGCTTTTTAAAACTCATGACTATACATGTAATGTTGCTCATTGTTGATTAAAATGCCTATGAATTGACAACTTTTGTAGAGCAAATCGTCAACATTTTTCTATAACCACCTCCAAATATATATTTGGTATACAATTTTCTCATGAAGCAACTTTTCGTCATTTTTGTGTATTGATCTAAAGAAAATTAGAGTAATAGCTTTTCACCAGTACTAGTTAACCAAAACATTGACAATAAATTCAACTAATTCCTGATAACTTTGCATTCATAAACTAAAAAAGTTGGTAGACATAATAGTTAACAATAACCTAACTTCCCCTCATGTTAAGGAGGAAGAGCAATGGTTGATTCACAACAACCTCTCTCTCTCTGTTTCTTCCTCTTTTTAACATCATCCTAGCAGAGAGAATAGCTGCTCCTCCCTCCTCCACTCTATATACCAAACATGCACAAAAGCATATATGCATGTTGTTTGCTTCATCTACTACTACTCTAAGATAAGGCATATATGTCATGTGATTGTTTCCTATGCTACTATTTACCAACACTGCTCTCTATTTGAACATAATTATAGATTCAAGACTTTGAGCCAAGGCCGTCGGCTTCAAAGGTCTGCTTTAGTCTTGGGAGTTCTTGCAAAAGAATGTCACTATAGGCATCATCCTGCAGCACATCTATCCAGCCTCCCGATTTCAGAACCTGCATGAAAATTAAAAGCATTGTAAATAATTCACAATGTATCTATGTGCATATTACATTGGATCTACATAAACACAGACAAATGCATAGAATGAATTTATGACGCATGTGTATTTGTCCGTCCATTATAAGCAATGTTTATAGGCCAAGAATACAGGCATTTAACAACAATAGAACCAAGGTAATTCCTGTTTAAGCACCACGTATAGAGCACAGAGTGGATGCTTGCCAGAAGGGAAACAAGGGACAAAAACTCTTGTTGCAACCGCTCTTTAATATATGTATCAAATAATTCCATTCATCCACAAGTTCAATTTGGCAGACCTAAAATTACCAGAAAGACGAAAGGAACCTAGAAACAATACCAGTATCTCGTAGAACACCCTTGCACTGTCTCTCTTTGTTTTCCCCTTCATAAGCAAGGACAAGTTAACAACTTCTACCTCCTCCTTCCCCTTCCGAGCAAGAAAGTTTTCAAGTAGAAATTTTGCAACCTTTCTGCATGCAAGAAAGCAACAAATTGGATCACCACCAAAAACAGAAGAAATGAATTTTCAGCAAGTTTCCAAGAGTCATAACCAAAAGATGCCATAGATATGGGGAAGAGGGATTGCAAAAATTGGGAATGAGATCCCTTATTCATCATACCTTGTTCTTAGGGAAAATTTGCCTGCAACCAAGACAAAAAGCTTATGAGAATGGCAATCCAACTGAAATAATATTTCACCACTAAAATCACTCCCCTACCCCCTAAAGCACAGTACTGTCTTACATTTTTCTGAGGTATCCCCTTCAAATGAATTTATCTCCTGACAAAAGAGGGCATTTGTAACAGTTAGCACTTATAGCACTTATTAGCATTACAATAACAGATATAGACAACATAATTCTTTTATTTCCCAAAAAAAGTTAATAATCATCACAATACACTTCCATAGCTGAAAGCAATTTCCTTTACTTATGACGGCAATCAGACTAGTCAATCATGTCATACCTCATCCATCAAATTCATTTCAAATTCTACATCCTCCATGGAAAGTGCTCCTTTCTCTGTGCTTTCAGTTGAACTTGCTGGTTCTATGTGTGATCTAGAAGTTCCTTGCGTATCATGAAATCTCAACGAGCTTGAGCCAGTGACAGGCGTTGCAGGAGCAATAGGTGTTTGTTCTCCATCATATCTGAGTGTATTATGAGATTCAGGTACACCCACATGCAGAGATGCCGCAGGAGCATTAGGTATTTGTTCTCCACATCTTAGGGTACCAGGAGATTCAGGTAAGTACTCATGCAGAGATGCAGCAAGAGCAATAGGTATTTGTTCTCCAGATCTGAGTTTATATGGAGAGTCTGGCATGTCCTCACGCAGAGGAACTTCTACTGTTTCTGCAGGCCCATGCCTTGCTGATCTAATTTTGCTAATTGCAGATATAATATCAATCGAAAGACTACCTGCATTGCCACAGTTGGTTATTTAAATTTCCTAAAACATGGAAATGGTAGTGGCAGTGTTTGAACGTTTTACTCACAAGGAATAAGAGGCTCCTCAAAACTCTGAGGAAGTGAGGAAATTTTATGTACTTTCCATGCAAAATAACTGGAATGAGGGGCTTTCCTTCTCTTGCAAACTAAGTCATTTGCATCACCAATCCAGTGCTTGAATACCCTGCATGTTTGGATTTGACACATCAATCTCTTCTGACTATGCAATGAACTTAACTGCACTAACTAAAGAAGGTTACAACAAGAAGATCCTGCATACGGATATCTTAGTGCAATGGATCTTGAATGGTTGAAAAAAGACAAGAAGGATCGTACTCATTTGGGATCACAATAGACTCATCAAATATGCACTTCCGCTTCCTTGAAATACGAGTTCGCTCCTTCTTAGCTGGGGTGTGAACAGATATGAAATCCGGTGAAGTAGATCCTGAATTAGAAGAAAGTGATGTTGGTTAAAAAAACAAGCAGTTTAAAACATGATTTGCTTGGGTTTCTGAAGGGACAAATTAGATTGTATCCAACAAGCAGAAAAAATGAGAAGGGGCACACATGCTCCTTATTTATTTCTAGGTGAAGGTGGAAAGGAGGGGTGGCGGGTGTAGCTTATTCCTTTTCCAGTAAGATTCAGCTGTTCAACTTAAATGATAGTGAAAGAACAAGGTAATCCAGATAAGGATTGACCATAATCACCTGAGATCTTGGTCTCTGGGGATACATCAATACAGAGGGACACTGATCGATCAACTTTAGTCCGATCCTTCCCTTTTCTAGAGGAAGATGCTTCAACATTTTTCTTTTGCTCAAAACCACAATGCTTTTCCACAAGAGATGATTCACCAAGGCCTGCTGGTCCTTCATCATCTACATTCACTCCTACATCAGGGGGTTTGAAGAGCTCAAGAGTAGGCTGATGATTTTTCTCAGATTGTTGATCAGTGTTGATTTCCGGTGTAGCTTCTGTGATAATCATCGGTTCTGCATGCTCTTCCAAAGATGACCTCTTTTCATAAAGATGCTCCTCATTTACTAAGTTCCCAGCATTAGACTCTTTCATCTGCTCATCATCAGTCTGGTGATCAGCTTTCCTATCAGAGATCATCTGAATTTCAATGTCACCAAAGGTCATAGGTTCAAAGCGCTCTTCCAAGGAGAATCTAGTCTCATTAAGGTTCCACAGAGCTTCCACATGGCCTGACCCAACTGATGGGCGGAAGTCAAAATCTTTGTCCATCAGGTGAGGTGAATATATGCTATAACCATGAAAAGTTAAATTCTTAGCACTAGCACTACATCTATTTAAAGAGGTGTAGGATCAGTGCATACTCTCTAACTGGAGTGTGATTTGTGGACTTTGACTCCGAATGAGAGACATCTTCCTCGTACTGAAAAAAGCAGCTTATATGTCATGTATGCAAGAATATCCATAGAAAACAAAGGTTGAACTTTTTCATGCAGCAGTACCAGATTGAGAGATAGAGAGAGAAAGAGACAGAACGCCCCCCACCCCACCCCAACACCCACACAAAATGAAAGTAGTAGTTAAAGAGAAATTCCAACCAACCATGCCATCATCAGGAAAAAGACTAATGAAGGTGATTGCTTAGGGCTCTAAGCTAATTCTTATTCAAGTATCATCAGAAATTTGAACAGCTTGATCAATCAAATTACTTCTTCAAATTAAACACAGCACCTCTAAAACTGTCCAGTACTTGTTCAAAGAAAAGCAGTTATGTGAACCCATGATGTATCTTGACAAGTACAAATTCCACTAACCAGTTTGCAGATAATAATTTAAAATCAATCAACTGATTCAATAATATGTGCTACACCAATCCTAAGGTTCTAATAACATATAGCAAAGAGTTTAACATAAACTACGAGATATTCAGGGAACAGTAGTATATCTTGCTAAGCAGTGATAGTGATATTTAGTGAGCACAAAGCAGAAAGTGAGCTAAGCTGCCTTCTTTTGTTGGAAAAGTTCCACAGGCCGAGACATGCTGTTAAAAGACCAAAGAAATGATAATACTTCATAAAATGACTACCTTGCAAGATAAGCCAAAAACCATTTGCTCATTTTCCTGAGCATCTGAAACGGAAAGCAGAAGGTCTCTTTTAAAAAAATAAGAGACATAAAGCAGAAAAATTAAAACCAAGTAACCATGAATAAAAATACACAAAGATGTACTGTACCTGAAAGCATGATTTCTTCACGGGATGCCACATGACTACTTCAAAACAGTTTGTTGCAAACCAAGATTGAAATGATTAACGCCAAACCAACAATCAGAAAAAACATAAAGAGAAAGAAAATGAAAATATACAAATTAACATGGGACACCACGTCATTCATGGAAAGTATTTATTTCACCTGTTTGCGTCTTGATCCTCCAAGACTTCCAGATCAAAAGTATCCAGTTCAAATTTCTTTGGTCGGGTGATAAAGTGGGCAGGAGCATGCATACCCCCAATCCTTACAGCTGATAGTTTACTAGTTGGTCTCTTGCGAGTTGAAAAATTACCAAGGTTAACAAGAACATTATTACAGTCATTGAAAAGATATTCCACTTTTTTCGAATATATTCTAACCACACCCAGGAGCAGGTGACCTAAAATTCTGTATGTGACCACAGGAGCTTCATCCAGCAGAATTTTCTCTGAGCAAAGAAAAAAAGCAGTCAAGCAAATGTAAATCACTCCAGAAATGATTAAAACTTCTAAATACTACTTTTACGTGTGTTGTGCTGCAATTAAAAAACAGAATCAAATCAAGAATCTGAATTAAAAAAGATCCAAGGCAATGAGCACATTCATTACATACGTACACAGCAATCCATAAACATGTGAACTGAAATCAAGATTACAAACAACATGTCCGATGTAATTCCACAAGTGGGATCTAGGAAATATGGTGCGTACGCATCCTTACCCCTACCTTATGGAGGCAGAGAGGTGTTTCCGATAACCCCGCCAGAAAACAGTTACCCAAATCATCCAAGGAATTCACAGAGACAACAATTAACACCACCTATAATCACCCAAGTTTGCAGCAAACGTTCACAATCCAACATAAAGCTAGAAACCATTTTCTGTGGCTTGGAAGACATGCTTATTTCCATGTACTTATATTTTACACCATGTCTTGTGAAATCCGTGTTATAACTATAGCATTTGTTACAGCTAACACAGTAGAAGTTGCAAACTAGGTGAAATTTCCAAAAAAGCTGTCAGTCACACTAGAACCTATTTCACCTTCATGGTCAAAACCCCGATTCAATTCTGTGATTAAATCACATTCTTCCCTTCATTAGTTTACCCACAACGTCCAACAAGAGCGTGAGCATCCCACTATTCTTTCTTCTCGTGGGGGCATTCTACGGGCAAAGAAGACTCCTATAAGTGGTAGTACCTAGTTGGGGCTTTGTGGTAAAATTCTTTGTTGAGAGAGGTCTCCACTGACACAACGACTTTCCGATGTGATTGACAAGCAGTGGGTTACAAAAAATCGAATCACAAAATGTATGGTTTTAACACTCAATTTTAGAACAACAACTGTCCAGCCATCCAACTAAATGTGAAAATAGTTGATGTAGGGTGACATCTAACACAATGGAGACAAAAGGTAACTACTAGCTGCAATTTGGGACAAAAATAAACTATATGAACTGTGCATTCGACAGCTATATCAAGAAATCCGGCAAACTCATGGAGGCAGTACGTACAACTAAGTCAAGAGAACACTAAATTCCAATAAATGACACTGTGGTTAAAATAGAAATCAGGGTTCTCTAAAGAAACCTGCAGTGTTAATCTATCACTTTGTCTTAATGTATGAAGAAAAGAATGAATACAAATAGAAACAGGTTAGGAGAAAAGGGTTTACAGGAAAAGAAGAAGACAAAACACCATCTTGTAATAACTGAAAAGGGGCAAAGGGAAAAGGGAAAAAAGTCAATAGGAAAACGCACCGACAGAAGAAGCGATGTTGGTCTGCTGAACTTGCTCTTTCTTGAGACGTTTATGACAATGAGCAGCAATCCAGATGGTGCCTAAAGGCCCTTTCTTTGAAAGAAGTAACTGTGAATAAAACATGTTCTTTCTCTCTTTACCTATCTTTGTTTTTCTAAAAGAGAGAGACAAAAATGCCTCACTCTACTTTAAACTTTTTCTATGTATGATGAGATGAATCAAAGTGTAGGCTCTGGATTTTACAGAACTCATTCATTCAGAGGAAGAAGATAAATGGGAACAAGGATTGTCAAACAAGTCTCACAATTTTATTTTATTTTATTTAGAAATGTGTTTCCCCGTTTTTGGAATGTACGACCAAATAAACCCTATTTGACGATAATGACCAAATTATTTACTAGTAACTTTCTATTGAGAGCTCTTTAGGCATACTTGGAAACTACTTGTGAAATGAATAAAAATTTTCATGCTTCTGTTAATATTACTAAGTATTTAGAATGGTGTTACTGTTGATATAGCATTTTTCATATATGTAAAAAAAAATAGCGTATTAATTAATTCATTTATAGCGACTTGTCCAGAACTCATATATGACGACAAGCAATCAAGATTTTGAGACTAAACACACAAATTAGCCTGTTCTATCATTCAATTAAAAATTGATCCTAGGAAAATTTTTTTAAGAGAAAAGGGAAGGATAAACTTGTAAAAGTGACATTATTAATTTTTATTAATTCAAATAAGTTGTACGTAGTACTATATTCTTTTTCTTTTTTCCCAGTCGATTTATTTGCAGTAAAATTTACTTTCTTCAAAAGACACGTTTCTTCTTATCAATTTTATATATATGGGGTTTCTTACAAACGGTAACTTTTTATGTACGGGGGGCTCTTGCTTGCCAGCTCAGTAACTTTGACTGCAATACGTGTCACTTCGACACACCCCTTATCACCCACGGCCACCGTCAATTCCTACTTCTTTTCCACAATCATATTCATTAACCATTTTTTTTAATAGAACAAAGAGTTAATCTTATAATTTGGTTAATGTAATTTTACTCTATTATTTTATAGTGCATACGGTATCTTCCACGACAAGAAAAGACTATTTATATCGTTAATTAAATTTAATTTTAAATATTTTATTTTGTCTCGAATTTGGGATTCTATTTTATCTTAATTCACATGTTTAATAAATTAATCTGAAATTATAATGTTAAAATAATTTAGTCCTCATATCCTACGAATTTGGATATAATTTTAATTCAATATAAACTAAAAATCATTATTTTACTTCAAATATTTCTTATTGCGAATTTGGATATAGTTTTGATTGAAAATAAACTAAAAATCATTATTTTACTTCAAAATTTCTTAGCATATTCATCATTTTTTTCTATTTCAAGTTTAAAGTTGAAATAATGAATCAGATCGTAAAAAAGGTAAATCTTCAAATATTTTTCTATAAAAGCACAATGTAGTCTCTATTATATACATATGTATTTGCCTGATTTGATCATAATATCTTTGGTATCTATTTGTTTGACTAATTTAAATTACGGTGAGTAGGGTTATAAACTTAATAACATATTATCATAAGCTTTTCTATTCTAACCTAAACTTGTAACTAAAATAGAAAATTTTAAATTATTCCATCACACCATTTAAATCTGACTATGAAAGTGTTCCATTCTCCAACCCTGTAAATTTAATAAATGAATATTATCTCTAGATTATCTTGAACGAATCAATATCACAAATAATAATATCTGAAGTATCAAATGAAATACTATATGTACAACAACAAATGTAAGCCTCGTTATTTGATAATACAGGAAACATACATAAATTTCCCAGGATTAGTCCAAACAAACAACTAAACAGTGAATTAGAGGAGGTGTTCCATTGTCTAGTCTAGGAATAAAAGAAAACATAACTGTTGCAAAGGATCCTGTTGACAGCCATATATGTGTCCTCCCAAGAATTGAGAATTCACTTGTTAAAGATCCTGAATAACTACAAACAAATCCTGTCAACAAAACTTAGATCATATTCTAAAGGCCTATAAACACAACAAACCTCGAGTACAAAATACACATAAAATGCATTTTGCCTAAAAGCTATTCTACCAATATTTCCGATTAGTTTAGTCTATACAGTTGTACACTAGGCACAGGAGATGTCTACTGACTCAATAAGATTCCTCAAGAGGAGAGGAAGCAAATTTCCCTAGCATCCATTGAGACAACTTTGTAAAAAAACATAATAGGAACACTGCTATCTTCACCTAGCAATAACTGAAAACCATTACTTTTGGCTCAACGGACTTGAAATCTAAATGCTAAAATAAAATCTCCACCAGAGACGTTGCCTCTGGCTAATTATCTATTAGTTTCTGCAATTTTCTCTTCAAAGCCTTATTGAAACCATCTTCTGACAGTGACAACATCTGGTTCAGTAACAACCTTACACCTTTATCAGTCATAATGGCAAACCTTGGCTTGATTCTCTCTTCTAAACTATAACCAAAATACTGAGGAAACTTCACCAGTTCTGCTCTTGGATAACCCATGGTCAAAAAGAACTCCCACTTTAATACCAACTTAGCCAAGCTAAAAGTATATAGAGCACCGTATCTTGACACCATTGTGGCAATTTCCGTCATACTGAACCCCTTATCCTTGAAGAACTCGGTGGCAGGCTTAATGTTAGCCTCAATGCTAAGACCAAAGGTTTGAGGACATCGGTAGAGAAGAACTCCAACATCAACCCCCATTGAGCGGAAGTACTCAGTTGCAGGCCTTAGCTTGTCCTCTACGCTGTAACTTATGATGTTTGGACATCTGGTTAGAACCTTGCTCACACACTCAGCAGATAGACCCATTTCATAAAGAAAGTCCACTGTTGCTCTCAATTTAGGTCTACTGTAAGTGAGAAGTGCAGGAAAACGGTAGATTACTTTAGCCCATTGTTCTTTATCAACGCCCAGTTCTTCCAAAAATGTCATTGTTGGAATTAAATTATCTGAGAGACTAATTCCACATAGTTGAGGCCTTTTGCTGAGAATTATTGGGATCTGTGATCTTGGCACTCCAAGATCAAGGAGAAACTCAACTACTGGTTTGATTTTTCCCTCAAGACTATAGTAGGCAAAAGCAGGAAACTTTCGTGTGATTACTCTAATCCTTTCAATGTCCATGCCCAGTTCAACAAGGTATAAAATATGTGGGGGAAGCTTTCCAGTGGGTCCAATATCAGTCACTCGTGCCAGAGCCTTCAGTTTCTTGGAGTCGAGAACAGCACTAGGAGGTGAAGCTGGTGTGACAGGAATAGGTACTTTTTCAACAGTTTCTTCTATTTTCTCCACAACAGGTGGGTTTGGAAAGCTCTCCACAACGTCCACCAAAATGCTTCCATATTCCTCGTGGAGGGCCTCAAGGTATGGGATGAGAGCATCCCTAATCTCAAGAGTTGTTAGTTCTCGTCCTGCAAATTAAAGGAAATTCACAATTTACAGATGAAGATAAACAGAAAACAGCACAGTGAATATGCTCATGCACATTCTGCAAATTCACAGATGTACAAGCAGAGAAAGAGGGGGAAACAACAGGAAATCAATCTGCTTAAACCAGACCTACGAGGTAGCGAGACTTATGAACAGAATGCAGCCGAGAGACAAGGTGATCGATAAAAGACTCTGATCTGTTGATAGCTCTTGCTGCAAGAGCATTGCTTAAACCCTGTTTCTTCAGAAACAAGGTCAAGACAGCCTTCGCCTCTTCCTTTTCAGCAGCTACAAGGGTTGGGGGGACCAACCTTAAGCTAAAAGATCCATCTACCTCAGATTCAGCTGTCAATCAAAGATAATGTACAAATATTATGGCAAAACCAATAGCAGCACAGCTAGGAGGATACACAGTGCTGGAAAGTCTACTGGAGGTAACAAAATTCATATTCCAGAATTGAGAAACTTACAATACTTCGCTGCGCAAAAGAAAACCTTCTGAGGTAACGACAATACAATCCTGAAGAAAGTTTAACTAATTATTTAACCCCGACTTAAAGAGAAGACGATATTTACTACAAAACCGCGAATTACAACAAGAAGAAGATATCCAGTGTGATCCCACAAGTGGGGGGTCTGGGGAGGGTGGGGTGTCAGCTGTACGCAACCTTACCCTATCTGGAGTGAGGTAGGGAGGTTGTTTCTGATAAACCCTCGGCTCAAGAAAAACATTTGCAAAAACAGCTTTGACAAATACAAGTAAAAACTAAAGTGAAAATATTGTAGAAAAAAACAGGAATTACAAGTCTACAAAAGTATAATCACATCCTATGCTAGTGCAGCGGAAAATAAGTGATGCCTAATCAACTTCTTTTATTCATATAGTTAGGAAAAAGAGGAGGCATATTTAGAGCTCTTATTCTGCACAAGTGGTATTATAATGCATATTATATTACACAACCACCGAATGTTTAGGTCTAACTTCAAGGAGATATTGCCAGGGAATAGTCATATGTATCACTAACAAACAATTTAGAACAACTAGCCTCAATCTCAAGCAAGTTTGTGGTCGGCTTTATGAATCCTTGTCCATATCGATCCATTTAAGTTCATCTCAGTACAATATTACTAAAGATCAGTTTCTCCGGCACTAGAAGTTCCCTACAGGCTACATTCCTAAAAATATATAGATCTCTAACAAGGCTAAAAGTTTCTTAGCATTGACCTAAAGTAAATATACTAACTTGGTTCAAATTTAATCTCAACTAATTAGTATTGCCTATATGTATCTCTAACAAGGCTAAACGTTTCTTAGCATTAACCTAAAGTGAATTCGGCACAGGTCAGACTAAGCCAGTGGTGTTATCACGTTCAAATTGGAAGTGGTCTCATAGGTAACAGGTTATAGCACCTAAACATCAATATCATACAGACCCACAAAGAAAAACCATTAAAAGACTGGAAATTTGTGATGTGAGTCGAAGATAACGTTACCGATAAAGGGGTACTCGGGATGTTCTTGAAAGAAAGGCAAGCTTTACGTTTGGGATTCGTAGTTGCATAAAAGATATCATTTTTAAGCTGTTCAGTGGTGTTGTTACTGTGAAAACTAGTGTGAAGCATTGATTAAACAAAGAAGGTGAAGTAAAAAATGGAGTTGGAAATTGGGTATGTAGGTGGTGTATTTGAAGATTTTTGGGGAGGAGGCTTTTGGACCGCAGATGTTGTTTGTTCTCTAGTGCCAAACACAATCTTTGAACCAGCAATAAGATGTTTAATTTTGAGCCCTCATGGAAAGTCACGTGCACTATGTAGTACTGTATGAAATAAAATATTTATCAAGAGTAGGGTGGGTGTTCGGTTCTTTGATTTTTGGTTTTAGAGAAGTGTGAACCATGTACCAAATCAAACTAATTCAGTTCGATTTTTTCTATTTTGGTTTGGATTAGTTCGGTATTTTAAAATTGATTTTTTGGTGCGAATGAAAAATAAAATAAGGACAAAATCAAAGTATAAGATACTTAAAATTTAAAAGTATGTTAAGGAATGATGTGTCTCGCCATGTTATTGTGTTAACTAGGGGTGTTAATGGTACGGTTGGTCGGTTTTTAAAAAATTATACCATCCCAATTTTCGGTTATTTTATAATATATAGCCAAAATTAGATTTTTTTAAAACCATCCCAATCATATCGATTTCTCTTCGGTATCAGTACGGTTCAATTAATTTTCGAATTTTTTTACTTTTAAAATATCACCTCAAAATATACTATTATTAAAATATTTCTTTTGCAAATATGTTCTTGAAGAAACACTTTAATTCTTCACCAAGAAGACAAAAATGTAAAACTTTATTGCTACATTTTTTCATCTTAAATATTTAATAGGAGTGTCTGCATAGGTTTTGTGTATTGTTTGATAGAGTATTTATTACCGTATCTTTTAATTTTAAACCTAGTTAAGTATAAGTTAATTAATAAGCAAAGACCCAAAGTTGTCTAGTCACTAAAGGCCTATGACCTAAGTTATATTTATATTTGAAAAATGTTATAAAACACACACACACACACACACATTTTTGTCTTCACCAAGAAGACAAAAATGTAAAACTTTATTGCTACATTTTTTCATCTTAAATATTTAATAGGAGTGTCTGCATAGGTTTTGTGTATTGTTTGATAGAGTATTTATTACCGTATCTTTTAATTTTAAACCTAGTTAAGTATAAGTTAATTAATAAGCAAAGACCCAAAGTTGTCTAGTCACTAAAGGCCTATGACCTAAGTTATATTTATATTTGAAAAATGTTATAAAACACACACACACACACACACATATATATATTAAATTTAACATATTGTTAATATACAAAATATATTTATTCGATTCGGTTCGAGAATTTTTTGGTTTTTTTCATAAATTATAATAACCATCCCAATTGTTCGGGACGATTATACACTTAAATCAAAGTCTATAATTTTATTAAAACAACAACATAAATCGGTTCGGTTAGGTTCGGTTGGTTTTTCATATTCTTTTGACACCCCTAGTGTTAACTAAAAGACTATATTTATCTTTGTTAAGAACATTGTGCCTCCAACTACTTTTCGAGGAAAACAAGGATAAAGATGGGTTCCTTTACATAACATACATTGATAAAAATATGTTTTGGTGCCTTTTGAGAACTAATATTTGAAGTTAACTATTGAATTGTAATAGTTGAAGTTAACTATTGAATTGTGCATTTGTTACTACTTTGATTTGTTCATGAATGATTTAATTGTTAGTTGATTTTTTATTTTTAGTTAAGAGAATATATATATATATATATATATATATATATATATATATATATATATATTTTTAAAAAAATATTTTTTAATAAAAGTTTGGTTTTTCGGTGCACCGAAGTTCTAAGACCCTTACACCAAACATCGAGTCGAAGAATCGAAGTTTTGAAAAAATAAAACTGACGCCGAACCAAAAAACCGAATTAGTTCGTTTCGATTTGATTTTTTGGTTTTCTGGTATTTATGCCCACCCCTACTAGGGAGTGTTTGGTAATAAGAAAAAATATCTCTTTGATGGGTAAGAAGAAATATTTTTATATAATCTGAACAAATACAAATGAAATGTTACTTGTGAACTAAGTTTTCATAAGAGTTATTTTTCTCGATATTAGATAACTTGTTTTCCACAAGTTCATCCCTGTATAGAGTCTTCGTCAAATGTAAAATGTAGTAGCGTGTTCTCGACAAACATAATTTCATCAATCATCATCTTGCGTTTACCCTGTCATTCCACTAGTTAAATAGAGAAAATTGTAGAGACTGAACTACTCTGTTGTTGAACAAGTGAACCTCCTAGTATAAGTTTGTACAACATTTATGGAAGAAGAGGATTCGATCTGCATTATCTCAACAAACTGAAGATTGAAAGAAGAAAAGTAAAACCCAACTCATGATGATGAAGCTGGGTAGCAGTAAAAGCTTTGATCTTCTCAACCTTTCCTTTTCTCGTTAAAATGACATTTACAAACGAAGTACTACAAGACGAAGTACTACAGATGCTAAGAGATACTCTACATAAGTAAGAATTCATCTAACAATATGACAAAATGAAAGTAGTAAAGCTAATAACTATACATCTAAACTCTTGTGCTTATCACTGAGGAATATCTCTACTAGCGAAAAATAGCTTCTCTTGTCACAAGCTTTATCCCCCTCACCCAAAGCGCTGCCATCTCAGAACCACCCTCACACACAAAGTGCACTTCCTTGTTCTTGGCTGTGATCACCCTAAAGATTCCAGGAAGCTCAGCATCCCCTTTCCTTTGCCTCGTCTTTTGAAACCTCAAACTTGGTCCCACTTCTGCCTCTTGGCATACCACATTACGCCTGCTCGATTTTCCCCAACGCAATATTCCAGCAGCTTCAACCATTGTAAGAACTTTCATATGTGGAGACCCTTTACCTCCCTTTATGTGCTTCTTCACCTGAGCACCAGTTAAGACCAACTTCCTAGCAAGTTCATCCAGTATCACCCGCTCTGCCTCATTTTTCTGCATCTTTCTAGCAAGCGATAGTGCAGTTTCACCCATTGCGTTCTTCATATCACAACGTGCTCCACAGGAGATCAAGAATTCACATGTGCGGCCATGTCCTTCCCTTGCTGCCAGCATGAGTGGGGTATAACCATCCCCATTTGACATGTTTATGTCGTAGCCCCTGGTTGTCAACAGCTTAACTGCATCCAAGTCACCACATCGAGCTGCACAATGCAGTGCATAGAAACCTGCAGCATTTCTACTACCCTGTTCAAGAGCAAAGTCGAGCAGAACCTTTTCAAATCGATCACGATTTGGATTTAGCACACAGAGGGTAACAGCAGTCTCCCCAGACTTGTTTTGCAGCTTGACATTAGCCCCAGCGTAAACAAGCAACCTGAAGCCCTCGACATGACCCTCTGCAGCTGTGATCATTACAGCAGAGAAACCTTGGTCATCTTGGCTATCCAGATCAATCTCTCCTCGTCCAACTAGCGCCTTCAGGGACAAAAGGTCCCTGGATTGAGCCACAAACAGTAATGGTGAAAAGACAGATGTGTTGCTCGACTTGGGAACCTTTCCGCTCTGGATGACTTCCAGAACTGCACCCTGAAAACTGAGCTTCCATCGATTGGACGCAGCAATGGAGATTGCAGATTCACCAGCTACATTAACCAAACCAAAATCAGCACCTGCTCTAGTCAATACTTTGAGGCAGTCTTCACTCTTGAATCTTGCAGAGATCATTAAAGCTGTATCTCCTGTGTCCGTTCTTGCATCCAGATCACAGCCAAAGTCAATCAAACATTTAAGAACGCTTGAGAACCCACGTCGGGCTGCCATGTGTATAGGACGAAACTCAATGTTCCGGGTGGTTTTAACTGGAGATTCCACATAAGCACCGCATTTCAAAAGCACCGAAACTGCTCCTGCATTACCACAAAGAATAGCATGATGGAGAAGAGTTCTTCCACTGTGAGATGTGCAGGAATCAAGCCGCTGGAGGAGCATTTGCAAAATAGTGCCAGTTGCTTCAAAATACTCCACAGCACACCAAGTAATGGCATAGGGATCTGCTAACCCAGCACCTACTCGAAATTCTTCACCTGAAGCTGCATCCCAGGACCAGGCTCCAAGTTGCACTGGTCCATCAGTTTTTGCACCAGCCTTGAGAATCCAAAAAGGTAAGGGGAAAGCCTAATTAGTCAATTGCTGATTAAAACTAAAAATGGTTCAATATTCAGCTTTTAACAAGGATAAATTCGAGAAGGATGCTTCATTAATTGCTGAGTGTGTAATTGAAAGAAGTCAAGTGTTTCACTTGAGAAGCATTTAATTGATAACTAGTGATCCATTTTGAGTTTATTACCTCAAGCAACAGACGAACTACAGAGACTTGCCTACTGACAATAGCAGCCACAAGTGCTGTGCAGTCAACATTTGTATGCAGAGAAGGTTTACTTGATTGGAGCAGCACGCGATTTGTAGCATCCACGGTCACTCCAAGCTGCCACCAAGAAAGCAGCAATTTATCAAGATGTTAATAACAAATCACATTTTGGCCATGGTTGCTCCAAAAAGGATACAAGATAAACACACAACGAGCAATAAAGGCAAAGTAAAACAGCAAACGCTAAAAAGGGTATGTATACATCAATATCGTTCCCACCTATAGGTATATCGAGCAGCAAAAAATAAAAGAACCCACTTGAATTTGCAAATTAAAGGCAAAATAGTATAAAAGGGCATCAGCAAGGAGAGTAATGTAAAAAATGTGACTCTAGCTTTTCTCTAATCGTAAATGTTTCATAGGTTTAACTTTTGTTGGAAACATCTGAGCTAACGTTAGCAGTGATATCCTGCAGAAAAGTAGTATCTTAATCCTTAAATAGCTAGCTTAATTTTTCACCTTAAGGAGAGTGTCCACCACATTTACGTATCCCCGGCAGCATGCAGTGAAGAAAGCATGTATAGCAATACGAGGTCGAATCAGGTCTGATCCCATGAGCACCTCCACAATTCTTGCATGCCCATGACAGCTGGCCTCCAACAGAGCTTCCTCACAAGCCTGCTGAGATGACCCAGCTTTAACTAACATCTCCAAGATCTCAAGGTGTCCCTCCCTCACAGCTGACGTGGTTGGGAATCCCCTGAAAAGTTTATGGTTTACATCGGCTCCAGTGCTCTGCAATTTTTTAAAAAAATGTAACTATATTACTCTATAAGTTACTCAAAATGCATAGTTTCATTTGATGAGATAAAGAAGAAAGCAAAACTCCACAGAATGAAACATAGAATCCTCACAGTTTACAAGGAATTTTATTCTGCAGGCAAAACCAAGAACTAAAAAGACAAAGAAGATATAAGCCAACAGATATATGATCTGCAATTGGTCAGTTGTGCCTGGAGCTGACCATAGGATAAAATCTATGTTGTTCGGTTTTAGGACTAGTAGCTTGCACACTCTTATATCCATGAATTGAAAATGGCCCAGTGGAAAAGCAGTGTAAGGACCTATTTCTGCCCGTGAATAAGCAGCTGAATAGTTATACTTATTCCAACATTCTCCCTAATACACCGGACAAATATGATTTAAAATGTTCGTTTGATTAAACATCCACTTATAAGGTGTTTTGAATTTTTCACATTTAAGACCGACTGTGAATTATCATTGTTATAGACTTATAGTCCAGCAACGCATAAAGCATAATGTTCATGTTTTTTCAGAAGAAACCATACTAGACATTTCAAGTTTCAAGTGACTTCAGCAAAGGCCTTCTCACCCTATAGTCTAATTTGATCTGTCATGCTCTAATGCAACAAAAAGGTTTACAAAGATTAAAAATTTAATTCAAAATATGAACAACGAAATAGACCTTTAACAAATGCCCCATAGTAGTAATTAATTAAAGCAAGTTTCTTTGTAGGGAAAAACTAGAGTAAGATTTTTTTCCTCCAAATATTCGTAAAATAACACCTATACTGCTGTTTGCTAACCGAAAACTAGTCAATTTTAAAACACAAGTTGCAGTGACAATAGGTAAAAACAAGTATGGGGGAGAAAGTGACATTTTTCTTAAAATTGAGAACAATAGCTGAGAATAACGTTAGATGGGTAAATCAAGTACTGAGAAAATAGGTGACAATTTTTTTTTTAAAAAAATCAAGTAAAATAGGTTACTTTTTTCTTGATAGGTAAAAAATTCAAACAAGGATGACGATAGAAACAGAAGACGGTCAAAAGTACAAAAGAAAAAAAGACTAGGACCAAAAAGTTATCAAATGCAAAAATAACAAAGGAAAATTGTATAAGGAGAAAAAGTCGACATTAACTACGAGCGTTTTCAGCTACTTTTACAGTACGATAACGACACACTGACCGGAACCGGAAAGATTTAGGTCTTATCCAGTAAAATTCAAAATTCAAATTTCTTAGGACAGACAGACGATGCAAAACGTCAAGTTAAAGGCTCAACAAACTTTGAATTTTTACCGGAGCATTAATTAGAGCATATCATCATAAATTCATAATAGCTAGTCAAAGGACTCACTACATTTAATATAATCAGAAATACAGATGGAGAAGTTCCGGCTGAATACAAAGATGCTACACGAACTAATAGTCAATGATCCAAAAGCACAAGCTTTCTCTTGCGTGAAGAAAAAAAATCAAAATCAATTCGAATCAAGTAGGCAAAACACTTGAACCATAAAAAAAATAATTACTAGTACTAATTGGAATTGCAAAGTTGAGGAAAATTATTACCAGTAGTTTTCTCACTAGAGCAACATTTCCATTATGAGCGGCGAGGAACAACGCCGTAACGTCGGTTTTGAACTCCTCGTAAATTATCCTAACTTCGTTCGGCAACTCGTCATGAGTCACGACCTCTGCCTTTCGAACCTTTAAACACACATCGCCGACGAAATTAACGTCTACGAACGGATCGGCGATACATTCAAGAGCCAATGTCAGATCGTTTGAATGTGACGCTTCAAGAAGACGACGGGAAACTTCAGCCTCGTAGTTCACCGGAAAGACCTGTTTGCCGGCGAGGAAACCAACTCCGGCACCAGAATGGCCGAACACTATCATTTTCCGACGAAGGCGCAACCAGAAGTTACTTACTTGTTTATCCTCTGTGTGTTTTAACGTGCATCAGCTACAGACAAAGTAGGTGTGCTGCAAGGAAGAAGCAGAGAGCAGTAAAAAGGAATGGAGCAGTGTGAGCTTTATTTTTTTTTTGTGTAATAGACACGAAAATCGAGAGAGAGGAAACTTGAAAGAAGTGAGCGCCAGAGTTAAGAAGAGTGAGAGAGGGTTGAGGAGGCAGCGTTATATTGGGCCTCACTTCACTCTTTCACCACAGTTAAAACATGGATCTTTTTCTTGCTGACCCACAACCCAACTAGTAGTAATTTAACATATATTTGATTGGATAGGATGTTACTTTTAAGTTATAATACTAAGAAATTTTCAAATGATAGATAAAAAAATTCAGGGAAAAAGTCTAAGTTGGCTCATCTACATACCAAATTGCTTTAATTTCATTATTAATTTTCGATCCTCTTTGACATTACCAAAAACTCTAACGTGAAATGAGTAAATTTTACGTGTTAAAATTGCATCTTTTAAAAAAAAGATTTAGATTTACATTTTATGTTCGATTGTGATTTAAAACTAAGTTAATTGAATGAAAAGAACGAGATAATTAGCTAACAATGAAGGTATGAACTAATCTAAAGTATATAATTAATGATAAACATTGAGCAATTTTGCATCATAGACAACAATTTTTTTTACCATTTTCCTAAAAATCTCATTATTATATTCCTTTCTCATTTCGTTATAATCTATGTGTCATTTCTCTTTTTTATTATTAAGTCTCAAAAATGAATAATATATTTCTATATTTTTTATAATTATATATATTATAACGTTAGCTTTACTATTAATGAGATGATTATAGGCAATTATGTATAACTTAGTTTGAACCGTATCTTAGTTACATTTACAAAACGTAATACTTTAAATGGGTCCATGTGTTTGTGGAAGGATGGAGAATCTAGTGTGGGACATGAATTTGTTGTTAGGATTTTGGAGGTAAGTGGAAGAAGGGAGCATTATGGGGGACGGCAATGCGTGAACTTTGATCTCATCGATAGCAGGCAGCTGTAGGGACGGCTTTCAAGTTTCATCCATCCATCTATATATATTACTATGGCAATTGGCAACCGTTTCCCGCAGTCGATCGAAATTTATCGTCAATATTATTTTAACATAAGTATTTGTTTTGTGTGTCCAAATTTTGACACATATATCGTACTAGAACTTCATTATATTTGCATTTAAGACGGAGAATTTAATTAGCAAAGATGAATCCATGCTTTCCAATGTCAAGTATAGTAAATTATTTAAGTAGCTAATCTCAATGGCCATTTCAACGCAATCTACTTGTTTGTCTTTTTTCTTCTTTATTGTTTCTTTTACTTGTAAGCTTGTACAACAAAAATGTGTTGCATGCCGTAAGGAAATGATTTAAAAATTATATATATAAAAAGAAACAAATATTAATTTTTTAAACGGAAAGTAAGACAAATAAATAAAGTGAAATATTAAATAGTCATAGTGCCTTTTCGGCAATAACATCAACTGTGTCCATTTAAATCAACGTTACATTGACTTAACCTATAATTTGAAATTGAGACGTAATTATTATTTGGAGAAGGAATTTACTACATACTATATAGTCAGGGTACCATTGTTGGAAGTAGACGAAGACATGACGTTAAAATTAAACAAAATGTAGAGGTACTAAAGTATGAGTCTCTAACAGTATTGACAAGAGGATATGGGCGGAAGTCCGTACTCACCGGCCAACAAAAGGTGTGTGTACTCTTGGATGATTTGGTATGGCTTGGGAGACAGGACCTGCTCACATTTATTTCATAAAATAAGGGGCAAAAAGATTGAGATGAAATCAAGATAATAATGAACAAACCCAATTGGTGAAATTTTACAGTTGCCCAATTGCACTCTGCACTGAACTTCTGAGCTACTAACTTTCACTTTTTTAACAACTGTGAAAAAAGCTAAAAAATTTGCCTTGTTTGTGCACGCGACTAGTCAATACCACTGTCATTCAACTCACAATCTCTTTCTCTTTTTCTGTCTTCGGTTAAGATACGATAGAGATCTCAGTCAACCTCATTGACCATATTATTACTCCCTCCGTTTATTTTTATTTGTTACATTTTGACTTAACATATTTATTAAAAATATACTGATTAACATGACTATTTTATCACATTAATCTTATTAATTGATATTTAATATTACGTCTTGAAAATTAATTTGAAAAATAAATAATTAATGTTAAGGTAAAACATGTAGAAAAAATAATTATTATCTTTTATTGATATATTAAAAATGACAAGTAAAGATTGTAATAGTGGAGAAGTAAAAGTGCATAGGAGAGAACACTAACTAATTAGAAAGTTGTTCGGGTGTTTATATTAAGTTAATATAAATGCATGACATGTGTTAAAATACCACAAATATCACTTAATTATGGTTCAATAATGGATTATACTGCATTTTCTCTTTATCAAACTAATTAACTATGATAAGTTACATTGATGTGATGTAAATATCTAGTGTGAGCAAAAATTTACCTTTTGATACAATTTATTTTACATAGACTAGTGTTATAATTATTTGAGACTACTAAATAAAAAATTTGTTTGTATCATTGAGAAGATGGATAATCAACATGTGTTTGGTTTTGAACTGGATAAATTTTTAACTTCCAATTTAGACCGTGATAATATTATATTATTGATCAATATGGCTTTAAGCTGAATGGTAATTTTGTCTTTTTTTTTTTACTTGTTTTGCCCAAGTGTAGCTAATCCTTAGACTGTTATTACCAATATTTCGACATAAAATTCGACTAGTATTAATTATTTATGCCAAAAATAAATGTGTAACTAAATGAAGTATAAAATAACTAACATCGAATCTATACCAGAATTATAATCATGATAACCAAAGTAGCCCTAACTTTCCCTTTCATTTATTTCTATATATTTTTTTTCATGGCTAAAAACTGCATAGAGATTCCATTTCATGGCTAATAATGCATTAATGGAAATCTAGAAAGTATTATAATAGAAGGAAGAAATGTTGGAGATGCAGCATGTGCGAAGAACAAGTTGAGTATTTGACTCGACAAAAATAATTTGTCCCTATTCATTTCACATTGCTTATTACTCAATATTTTTCTACTAGTCATGTGATTTATATGCAGCTCACGGTCTTTGTGTGTATGTATTTTGACAAGGCATGTGCCTAACTTGAGAAATAGTACTTTATATAAGACATGTTATAATAATTTCGATAACATTATATCCTGGTACTATTGTATATATATATGGCATGTTTTGGCCACCCACTTTTTCTAGTCAACTAATCATTTTCACTATGTATAACTTCTTCTTGATATTTTTTTCTAGGTGAAACAATCCCAGACGCCATTTCCAACAAAAGTTAGTTAACTTAATTCCACCGCATGCAATTGTTGGGCGAAAGTAGATAAAACATGCGTGCGCAAGGGCCAAGCTAAGGCAGCTAGCTGATCATTGTGTTTGATTTAATTAATATATATATTCAGATTTTCCAACTAAGTAGGTATGTGTTTTTAGTAAACAATTTGCTTATTCCGAAGTTACAAAGCTATTTGGGCGGTTGGTTTCTTTAGGAAGAGAGTCGTCTCGAGACATTGATACTTAGTCATGATGATTGATGACTTTAAATTTAATTTTAGGGCCTTGAATGGTCCCAATTCAGGTTTCCACTGACTTACGAGAAAATTTGAAATTCGGACCCAATTTTGCCAACTTCAGTGGAGAAAATTCCATTTGTCATCCGCACATGGGACAAAAGGGACCTTTCATATGCTCATTGCTCTTGTTCAATACAAAGTGTATCCTCCCACCCCACACATATTTTTAAAAACAAAAAATGTCAGTACGCTGGTGGATCTCGACTATTTTATTGATTACCTATTACTTCTTATTAACGTAGATATTTACTAATTTTGTTCACTAAGACTATATGCTCTCTTCGTTTACATTTACTTTGTCCACTATTTTAAAAATAGATTTTCACTTTTACTTGCATGTTTCACATATTAAGCAAAAACCTTCTTTTTTTCATATTATCTTACCATTAGTTACTTATTTTTCCGAATCATTAAACGTATATAATATTAAATATCAATAAATATAGATATTATTAGTAAAATACTCATATCAAATATTATTTCTTAATGAGTATATAAAGTCAAAAATGAATAAGTAAAAGTGAATGAAGACGGTAAATGATTTGAACTTAAGTGAAAGTTCAACTCCCTTTATTTCATACTGTTGCGTGGAAAGAAAGTGTCTTTTTCTAGATTAATGTAATACCAAAAACCAACTGTCCCATGTAAATTAAATTTAACATGATTTTAAACTGTTTAAGCGCCACTTCATAAAGAAATTTATTTAAAAGATGGTCCTGCCTAACTATCTTTTAGTATAATTAAATAATTTGGTGTTTGGATTGGAAATTAGGTAGGCATCGATCGAAAAGGAAAAGTAGGCAAGACTTTATATACCAAATAGTGCACCATCATGTTTAACTAACATTTTTGCAATACATATTTGAATTGCTTAATCCTCAAAGTTGCCGTTTTTAAGCAAATATGATTTCGTTTTCCTTAGTGCTGTGCATCTTTTTAATGAGACTAATTTGGAGCATCTCTCTTTAATTTTCTTCTAATAAAAATGTTAGTCCACATTTTAAGCTATGTACTTCGTGTGCTTTTCTCATCTAAGAAAAACTAACTTAGAAGCAAGAGTAACAAATCCACAATTGGTTCAACGAGAAATAATATGGATTATCCTAGTTATATACAAAAACAATCATTACCATCCAATTAATTGTAGCAATCTAGTATTTTTGGGACATGATTGCTATCTATACCCACTAATCTTTTGATTATATAATTCATATATTACGATCGAGTGCAAGTTTAGTAAGCAGTTATTGGTTTTACTAAGATCTTGTTTTATTATTTCTGTTCTCCACAAAGCTCATGGACGTGCAACTTATAATTTATGTATTTAATTGAATTCAATATTTTATGCAACTACAAATACATAACTCAGCGTGGAAAAAGTAAAAAGAATGTAAAGTGTATAGAGGACGATATGTAAAGCTCCACGTAGGTACGTAAGCTAAACTCCAAAAATTAGTAAAGTGTCAGATTAGATATATACTGTATGTCTGTATATGCAAATATACAATGTATAGTATAGCATGTTCCAACAATTATGTCAGATTTGATATATGAATACTAAGGAAAATATCCAACAATATGAGAATGGGTTACAATAATTTGCTGCTCCTCTTGTAATTGTCTGCCTCTTTTACTACGTATATAGCTACAATATAATTTTAATATAATATATATAAACGTGAGTTCTAGATCCTGCTTCTGCAAGAAATATATTTTGTCATTAACATCCCCCCTGCTATCATTAAATACTGTAATTCTTTTTATCCAGTTGAGGGTATCGATCTTCAAGGTAACACCAGTCAACGTTGCAAACCATACCTAAAATTTATGGGACTCATTTTATATTTTACGAGTTTTCAAAAAAAATTCTTAAAATATTTGTTGTTTGTGACTCGACTAATTTGGATCCTCTTCTCAAGGCCATATCTGCTCAATTTGCTTATATATTTAGCCATTTTCTGTATAGCATATGAAATGGTTCCAGAGGAGGCACTGAATTCTTTTTTCCTACTTGAGGAAATGTTTGTTTTCAACTCAGGCCATGTAAGTTTCGCAAAGTTTAACATATATATCACAATGAAGGATTTTTTTCACCAACAAAAAAAGAGAAGACTTATTTTATAGTATTTTTTTCAATTACAATTATTTTAACCGTGGTGAATTATCATAGGACACTTGTAACTTAGAAGTAGGGGTGCCGATTGGGGTGGTTGGGTTAAAGTGGATCAAGACAATAAACGGGTCAAGACTCAACCCAATCCAAATTTGTTTGGGTCAAAATGGTTAGGTAATGGGTCATAACTCAACCCACACAATTTTTACTAAGTTTTAATAGCTGCATTTGCTATTTTATAAGTTTATAGTACCTAATAGAATTATTTTTTTCTTTATTATAACTAGGGGTGTTCACGGTTTGGATAAAAACCGATCCAACGAACCAAATCGATAAAATAAAACCAATTTTATTTGGGTTTGGTTTGGTTTGGTTTTAGATTTTTGAAAACCGATAGTATTTGGTTTGGTTATGATTTTATTCGAAAAGACCGAAGAAGTAATCGAACCGATGAATTATATACATATATTTTATTAATATACATACCTAATATATTGTTTTTATAAACTATTTTAAAGATCTTATACATATTTTCATTAAAATTTCTTTATAATTTACTTATTGAAAGCAAAAATGTCCAAGATGAAACATTTATCTTATTGATTTCATGTATATGAGTGTCTATGACAATTCTTTGTGGGACTGAAAATGTTATTGTCTTTCCTCTAGGCCAATATTGAATTTTAAAGCTTTATTGATAGTAAATTTAGTGATTGAAAGTTCAGTAATTTAAGTCATTCAAACTATTTTTTGTTTTGAATGGATTGTTATCACTTTTTTTCACATTTTGAATGAATTGTTTCTTTTATTTTGTGTATGGTTAATAACCGAATAACCGAACCAAACCAAATCAAAACCGATAACCACCAAACCGATAAATGTATGTTATATTTGGTTTGGTTTGGTTTGGATTTGATAATTTAAAAAACGATTTAGTTGGTTTGGTTTTGGTTTTGACCAATAACCGATCCAAACCGATCCATGAACACCCCTAATTATAACTGTATATAACATATAAAATAAAATAAAACGTTTTTAAATAAAATTTTGACAAGATTTTTCAAAAATTAGTTTGGGTTACATATCAACCCATTTTTTAATGGGTTGGATCGAAATGAATTGAGCTAATAAATGGGCGGGTCAATAACCAATCCAAACCTAAATAAATTGGGTCAGATTGGACTTGATTTTGCCGCCCCCTGCTTAGAAGTCATGCACATTTTGGCAAGCTGCATCTTTTTTTTAATTTTAATAAGAGAGAAATGGATATAATCAAATTTACCTTTTACTATACTAAATATATATTTATTTCACTTAGGTTATACTTTGGAGCTATTTGTACCTCGTCATTAGAAAATCTTCTCGTACTTATCCTCAACATTGATAACAATAAATTGAGTTTATTCCACATATCAAATTACTTCAAAAAAGTAAACTAAATAACTCTTGTACTTCCATTTATGAGTCAAAATTATCATACGTTCTATTTTGAGGAAATTTCATAAATAGCTTCTATTTTATGTTGCAACTCTATTAGCTTCACGAGCAAATACAAGACAATTTGTGAATGGAGAAAATAAGAATAGCCAAAAAAGTTTTTTTTAATAATATTTAATAGAGTGAAAGGTTATTTAAACCTCTTTAATTTACTTAAAAGACACTCCACTAGATACACATGGTTACTGTTAACTAATTGGAAATACAAACATACTTCATTGATGGATGTATTGTTTCATTTCAATCTCATTCTTGTAGTCGGCCCACAATTTTCAAGGTTAGCCCAAAGGATATAGCTGGATTATAGAGCATCTAGCCCAAAGTTTTATTTGCATTTCAGATAGTTCATTTTATAAAGGGCAAACCACATAAATCCCACTAGTTTAGGTCTTAATTATTAAGATTCCTAATAGTTTCAAATATTACTTCATGTACCATATTTTATGCTTAGGATACATGAGTCTGAATCCATGAGATACATGTATCTGCCGAATTTTAAAATTGAGATACAAAATTTATTTATTAAAATTAATTGGTTGGAATTGATTTCCTTAATTTTGAACTCTTTTTTGTCATTGGATATTTTGCATCTCATTCTATCCAAACTGCTGTGATCATTGAAATTTTGAATGAAGAAGAACGGAACTTGTTAAATCTATAGATGATGTGCACGGAAACTACAGAACAGAACATTAATTTCCTATGGTTAACAAAGAAAAGGAGAGTAAGAAAATGAAAAGGAAATAGAAATTAATGCATCTTGATGATTGAGTGCATAATACATAAGAAGATCTCATGTCAATTGATGTTCCAGCAATGGGGATATATCTTTTAATTGACATAATCTTCAAGCAGATTGATTTCAAGTTATTTGAGCCTTGCACCTCCGCTCAACACTTGTATTGTTAAATAAATAATGTACATATAGATATTTCAGTACAATAATGCCCGAATATGTTAGTCAGTTTCCTCCCCATCTTTTAGATGTTCTTTGAGGCTTTGTCCAGGTATATCCCATGTTGAATCTGCTTCTGGCAATGTGTAGTCTTCAGGTTTGAGTGACAACTGGAATTCTGGAAGATCAGGCAGTACTCGAAGATCTCTGCTTGCAAAGTCATCATATTTAAATGTAAGTGTGAAAATCTGAATAAGCATAATTAGAAGAAAGTTTCAATATTAGTATTGTGTAAGCTGTCAGACTCACTTTTCTTGGTCCAAAAGGTAGCCATACATTTGGGACTTCTTGGCAGCAGTTTCCGGCACTTTTTTGTTTAAATGTTTCATAACACCCCATGCTGGAGGAGTTCTACGAAAACACAAGAAGGAAATTTACTACTTCTATGATGGTCATTCTTTGCAATGTAATTCAAAAGAGCATAGATAGTTAAAAACCTGGTGACAGGTTCTGCAAGGCAGAAACTTAAGGAGGCTTTTTTGCTCTCGGTAAGTAGTTCTTCTGCTGCGAGGAAACAGCATACTGCACTAACGTGGCAGGAAGGTTCTGTGCCCTTGTCAATGATTATACCGTGGTAGTAGTAAGCTGCAGCCTGACTATGTTGTTAACATATATGTATTGGCAATAGGAGTGAAAGAAGATGAAAAAAGCTCAACTAGAGATCAACAATTTTGGTAGGAAGAAAAACCTTTGCTTCAAGATATTTCCATTTGATGAACAACAGATGCTTTTTCGCTGTTCCGTGGAAATTATTGTCTCCAGACAAGAAGCAAAGAGTCTGAAAGAGAAAAAAAGAAGTTAGATATACAATCATATGATGATGCAAATAGCAAACTAAGACTAAGAAATTGTCAAGTTGACTTGGGAGTAATTTCTAGCAAATAGATTATCATTGATAAGATTTCAAGTACCTGTGCATAGTAGCTTACTGCTTCACATGCCAGCCTCCTCTTCACTGATAAAGTAGCATTCTGACTTTCAAGAGCCAAACCTAATTGAATTTCAGTTCCCTGAAATATCACTCAGGAATCAGTCGATATTGGAATTTCAATACCTTCTTACTTTAAGCAGTCAGTTGCATCGTATCGATTATCTACTGGTTCTGCAAGGGTGCAGCCTATGATGAACCAGCTCAGTTTTATCGAAGCTGATTGAATTGAATTCTACAAGAAGTAGAATCTTGGATCTTATAATTATCATGAGTTGAATTAATTAACTGCCCTGTATGACTTGCTTTTGGATTCATTTATCCCACTTTATCATCTAACAGTATTTCCATTTTTGGTGATTGTTTCACTGATCTGACTGGAAAGCAGTTACCTTTTCATTGATTTTATTAGCTATAAGGAATCAAAACTTGTGTTCTAATTAATCGTCAAGTAACATAACATATACCTGTGCTAGTGCTTGATTTGAGGTGGCTTCGAGAATACCCTGATGCAGATCTTTAGGCAACTTGTTCCTGGTAAAAATAAGGATAAAATAGCTAATAAAAATGACACAGAAACAGATATATATGTAGAAATGAGGCTGAACATATATTTACATACTTGATATCAGGTGGTAGGTGGACAAGAACATCTTGGACACAGAAATCCAAATAACCTGATGCTTTCAGCAGCAAATCAACAGTATCCCTCATGCAATCTGAAATCGAAACGCTGTTTGATCAATGCTGATCACACACTGAGTTTTTAAGAAAATTAATAACCACAATATATACCTCCGGACACAGCCCGTTCAGTCATAGCGATGTCTTTTGGTATCAACTTCATATTTGCCTCTACTAATGTTAACATAGCCATCATGTGGAGGACAGACAGTAATTCAAACCAGGAGTTTGCTACAGAGGTTTCCTGCTAATTATAAAAGAAGCAAAGGATCATAAAGCTTGTCAACAGGTGACAACCACTCAGGAGGTACTAAATTGATAAAAGAATTTGAACCTCTTGCCCATCTTCCAAGTTTTTCCACTTAAATCCAGTCAATTCTTGAAGCCCGAATTCTGTAAAATGACATGATCAATCGATCAACACTAAAATCGTACGTTTGAAATAATAAAGTACATACTTATCTTAAAAGGGTGCTAGGCTAACCTTTTCTAGTAAGGCCAACAAGAAGAGACAAATACTCCTCGAGTGCTTTTTGTAATTCATCAATAGCAGACACATCTAGGTAACAAAATGAAGTACTCAATAGGTGAACAAGTTGTTTCAATTTTTAGTGCATATTTTTAGATACATACCTGTATCTTGCGCGATGAGCAGAATCTGGTTCCTTATAAAAGTTAATTTATCAGCAAGATCCTTAGGAATGAGACCCTTTAGCGTCCTCTGTAGATCACATTGAGCAGGAACACGCATTGAGGGGACAAATATGCTGACCTCAGGGATGATGCCCTTCTTTTTCTTCTTTTTTCCAACCTGGTAGACAGAAGCCGCGCACCCCATTGCTCTTCAAGGGGACTGATCTCAACTAGTAACATCCTACATAGGCATTGAATGTTGCAACATTCACTATAGAAAAGATTGAAGCAGATCAGTACATATTTATTGTTTGCAATGTACATTAATAAATGTTGGGAACTTACTGCAAATGCCAGGCTGCTAGTGTGGGCTGACATCAAATTGTATCAGTATCACTATCACCTATTTTTAAGTGAGTATATCAACTTCCAGGATGGTTTACTTATTTATACATTTATATTAAAAGGAAAAGAAAGAGTTGCTAGTGGGATCTACAATTATGTAGTAAAAGATTAGAAATCTGAGATTTGGAAGCAAATGATGAGGATTACGAGAAATAAGTCACATGCCAATGCGTAGGAAAGACTTACAACTAGTGCATTATTTTCGATATATATTACTTGTAATTTGTGAACTTTCTTCTAACAGCGGAAAATAAGGAATAAAGGAAGTCATATATATGCATTTTATTTTTCAAAGAGTATAACATGTGCAAAGGTGTTTGACTTTGTAGGAGTGAATTATTGAGCACTCTCCACTAATCAAATCTGTCCCTTTTGAAATTGTGCTTGTTTTGATTTTTACGTCAATTGCACTTGGCCTAAAAGTCCATAATTGGTGGAGCATTGTGTAGCCTAACTAATAATAAAATGGATGAAAATCATGAAAAGACCATGGTTCGGTTAAGATATATCGGATTCTTCTTATATTCCTAACTTATGATAGACAACGTTACTTATATTTATACAAGTCGCCAGCGGAATAGGTGAGGCTCTTATAAATTGGCTCGAACACCATCAATATAAAAATAAAATAGACACTATGAGTTACTTGTTTAAGTACATAATGACGGGGTCGGTTGTACAGTTATGGCGATGGATTCAATCAAATCCAATAATTTTGACTCAGACTAGGTATATATTTTAAGATATCTACTAAATATGTACAAATATCATATTTCAAATTCAGTAACTGAATTGAACTTTATATCCATTGGCATTAGAGTTCAAATCATAAATCCATTTATACTTTGATAAAATTGCCAAAAATGCACACAAACTAGCCAAATAACACCATTATAAAAGTGATGGAAACCTAGGCATACCATTTGAGAATCATAACTAATTTTAGTCGGAATATACTATATGCATGATCTAGTCTCTCTTTTAACATAAAAAAAAAATATTTTCAATTATATGTCAACTTGCAGTTTGTTAAATTGTAGGATACTTGATGCAAGAACATAGATGGACTCATTTGGCGTGTATAGAAGTGTATGCATCTCAATTTTCCCATCAATATTATTTAATTTGTCGGTACCACAATATTTAATACTACTTGTAAAAGTCCTATTGATTGCCCAACAAGTTGTGCTGCATCAAATCAATATTGCAAATCCACGCGCTTGACAACTGGATCCTGACAAACAGCAACACTTACGTGTTGGATCATATTTAGATTGGTTAAAATACTAAAAACAATTGATCTTCAATTTATGAAAAAATATTTATTAATTAAACTTGGCTATGGTAGTTAAATTTGGATGGATTCTTTCGATTTGCAATTACATGGACCTTTTAAAAATAATAATTATGACTTCATTAAAACAGGTTGATTTGCACTGTTTTCTTGCTAAAGCATCTGCCCACTCATTCACCTACATGTATGTTACGTGAACCTTTATATAAATACTATAGTATATTATACCTAACTTAATCAAATTTACTAGATCGACATGTTTAGGATCCAAATTCGCACACGTGGCGGTTAAGTGTCCCAATTGTTTTTCCTTCTTTTGGTGGGTTAGGTAAAAATATTTTTTCATTATCTTTTGTATTTGATAGGTAAGTCAAAAAAATAAAATTGTATGAAATATATTTATATATAATCTAGGCAAAACATTATGAAGGTGCGATGAAGGGATATTCGGATAGGAATATGGGAGGGTGGAAATGGGGTGACGATGAAGATCATATGTATGTATGGATGGGGAGGCTTTTGGAACTTGTTTTTTCTAGTTTTACTATTCAATTTTAAGAAACCTATTTAGTTTCTTAGAAAAAGTGTTCTAAAAATAATTTGATCAATCAAACATGAAAATTAGAAAAAATATTTTTTCTTCCGTACCGAACACTCCCTTTGTATGATCTTCCGATGCCTAAGGGCATATTTTTCAATCCATCATATTCAAAAAGAAATGATAGCCTTTTTCCCACTGCCATTTACGATATAGTCACTTCTGGGAACATTTTGCAAAGCACGGCCGTTTAATCAAAGTGATTGCGTCTTAAATGATGTTTGCACTACTTTTCTAGGCTGCTGGGCTACTACTAACCATGGTTCACATACAGGGATGGCCCATTTAGATATAGATATGATGGAGCCCAACCAAAAAAGTTGGTTGGTCCAATGCAAGTCATCTTGCATAATGGTCCATTTTAAAATTGATTTCAGAAGAATTAATCAAAATAGTTGTCCATATATAACTACGTAAATTCAAAATAATCAACAATTATATGATACTTGTTTAATTTATGTGTAATATTTGTATAATCTACAAAGTGCATCCGATTGGTTTTTTATGTAAAGATCATTATGACTGATAAATTTGTTTTGTTTGGGGTCAACCCTCAGAATCAATTGTAACACTTGAAATTTGGTGATAATAAGCCTCTTTATCCTTCTTCACTTGGATACCGAATTTAGCTTCTACTTGATCATAAATTTGAAAATTGGAGTTTTAGAGTTGTGAATTTTGAAGTTGGGTCTGGACACGTGTTTTACTTGAAAAAAAATGAAAATTTTCTGAGTGAAAGTGGAATTTGAAAATATTTGATGATTAATTCTCAAAATTTGATAAAATTTCATGACCAAACTGAACATAAATATTTAAAATCTTATCTAAAATTTATAACCAAACACTAACTTAATTTGTTGTTTCCTTGCGTAAGACTGAACGTGTGACCTAGATAAAAAAAAGTCCATCAACCTTTAATTAGCGGTCAAAGCTCTAATATCGTAGATTTAATTTGAAATAAGAAGAATGTTTTCATTTATCTTGTCCATAATATATAGCAGCAAATTAACTATGAATATGTTCCATTAATTGCATATATTCTCGTGGTGGTACAAGAATAATACTAATCTCTAGACTCTAGTTATTGGATTTTCAGCTAATGATATACTATATGTTATCACTTTTCAAATTGATAAAATGGTTTGGCCGACATGTTTGTCAATATTAATGAATGCAATTTGTCAAGAGGATAAGTACATGTAACATGTTACTCCATCATGCTAGTATTAACGTACTCACGGGCTTTTTAGTTGACTAACAACTATACTATGTGCCAAAAATACAAGAAGAAAATGGTGTTTCAACTTGTGTGTCACATGATGAATTAAAGACAAAAGAAAACTGATTAACTAGGAATAGGCCTATTATTAGCATACAATTAAATGTTTCATCGGTAAGAAATCGACTAATTACAACTCTTTGGAAAAAAGGACACGTGAAATGCCAAGAAAAAAAAACAATTGCAAAATTAGAGCTTCAGTCAAAGAAGCAGAGGAACAAAACTCCTGTTGTTGCTTGTTACCTTAACGAAAGGGGAAAAGAAAGAAGATACTCCTCTATCTTTCTGCGAATAAAGAAAGCAACCAAAACAAAACAAAACAAAAGGAGCATCAGATTCGAAGTACAATTTGTAGTATTTGCAATTCTACTTCATATTTATACTTTTTTTTAGAGATGGAATGAAATGAGTTTTGATTAGATATATTAACGGTATAATTTAACGGGTTATAATAAATTAATTGACTGGATAAAATAAGAATATTTTAAGCGACATAAAACATAAACTCAAATGGAATATATTCGGCCTGCGTCGGGAGAAGGTTTAAAAATATAATTAATAAATTATTTGCTATACCATAATTTCCATCTTCTTATATCAAGTGATTAGTAAAGTATCAAAGATAAATAAAACTGGGGATTTTCTAATTAGTTGTGATTTGCATCAACTTTCTGAGGCAAAAGGAATAAAGCTCAAAACTTGACAGTGCATGTTAAAGTAAGTTTACCTCCAAAAAGAAGAGTAAACCATTTGAATAACAGTTCTAAAAAGAAGGGAAAAGTTAACCGGGGCTTTTGTAATGAAGAAGATTCCAAATTGAAAGGTCAAAACATGCTTTAAACTTTTCTAATTGGAGTTCTGTAGTACTGTGATTACCAATAAATAAAGTTGAGTTCTGAGTTTGGATTTTAATAAACTTGGTGCCAATTGTTCCTTTGACATCATTAGACGTATATAAAAAACAAATTGAATCACGAAAATGTAAGAGGAATAAAAAATTACGCTATCTATCTAATCTTAAGGTCATGAATTCGAGTGTAAAAAAATAGAAGCTCGCTCCTAGGAATAGGTAATAAATAAATAATTGTTTGATTGTAAATTTAGATATGAAAATTTTAAATTTTTAAAATAAAATTATATATTTAAAAACTACATAAAGTATTATAGGTCATGATACTTATAGTATTACAAATTTGAATCTCCAACTATAAAAAATATCATACTATATATTAAGACGAAAAAAATTACAGCATCCATACGAAAATATAACATCAACGTCCACGGTTTACGCGGAGGCTTTTCTGCGGCATTTTCCCACGGCTTCAAGCCGGGAAATTGTAATAGTCAAATGGTGGTCGATGTTTCCTCTGTGATTGACATAATATATAAACATGACTCTTAATTTGGCTTTAACAGACAATTATTTCCTCTAATTTTGAGTGTGCATAAATAGACACTTAAATTTGTATAAAATTAAACAACTAGACACATATTCTACATGACATAATACATATAGGACGCCACATAAAATACAAAATTGCCGGACAAATGTGTTAAGTGACTACTTATTTACATTCAAAACTAAATGTTATAGTAACCAACTGACGTCAAGTTAAGATTCATTAATTATTATGCCTGTATGATTTGAATGACATATTGGCATGTCATTTTACAATAATAACTGAAAGATGCCAAAAAGCAGAGATATTAAAAAGAAGAAAAGGCCCCCAATTCCCAAGATTTCAATAATTTAGACCACAAAACATCCCTTGTTCAAGCCAAGTTGGACCTGACAGGCTGTACACAAGGGCCCTGTTATGGGCCATCTGTCCTTTTCCAGTCGGCCCAAAATTCCAACACTTGCACCTTCCTCCTCTCTATGTAAACCCAAAAAAGGACTTGTATATATTACTGTGTTCTTCTTTAATTCCATCTACTTTTGATCTTTTATAACAATAATAACAATGTGATATGATCTCATATGAGAGAATTGTTTGTTTTAATAATCTTACGTCAAAAGAAGATTTGAATCTCAGTTTCAGACTTCACACTTGACGATTAACAATCACGTGCCATATCATTAATCTACATGATATGGTACAAGTTACAACGCTGACTAGTCACTGAAATGTTGGCTTACAGTATCTTTCAACATGATCACTGCACTTCTTCCAAAATAATTGACTATTTTTAAAATTGGAGCATGTAATTTGATTTTTTGAATTTGTTATATATTTTCTAAATTAAAATTAAGAATAAATTTATGTCAAAATATAATAAAAGAATATATTTGAATCGAAGGTATAATAAAATAAAATATTTAAATTTAATCAACGGATAAATGTGAATCTTACTTTATACCAAACAGATAGAGATTCATAGCGCAATAGTAAGGATATGCACGAAACTTATTTAGAGAATTACTTTCTTTTTAAAAAAAAATAGTACAGCGATAAAACCTAACTATAATATGTTCCAGGCAAATGTCTGTTACGGTTTAACTTTTTGTAGGTATAGTGAAGTGTTCTTTCCATTGTACATAAAAATGGAGCTCCAGAATAGAAGGAAATTTCCAGTGGGTGGGGTCTCTAAAGCTTACAAGTACTATGAGATATAGTGGGAGTGGCACACAACGCCGAATCAACAACATTTGGAGTCTAAAGCGAAACTTAGGAGACGGATTCTAATATTTTTTTCATCATATATACTTTTATTTAAAATCTATATTTCTAGCTATTTTAGATGCGAAGTCATTATGTATTGTTTTATAATCAATTTATTTTAATAATTCCTTTTCAAATGATAATATAGTTAATTCATTCAATCTCTCTTGAGACATTGTTGATCTTAAATAAGATTTAACCAATTTTAATTTTAAAAAAACTTCTTTCGACTGAAGCAACGATTACAAGAACTGTTAACATTCTATAAGCAATATGTGTATTTGGAAAAGAATCAAGTCTTTTAATAATTTGATCGAATATTTTCATTTGATAATTATTTTCTACTTGTGTTATTTCTGTTAACACTTTTGATTTAAAAAATAAATCTAAACCATCAATATCAGAATAACTATTACGTGTTAAAGAAAGTTCAAGGTTAAGACGATATTTTTTTATCTCATCATCTAGTGATCTCAATATTTACCACTAAATAAGAAATCAAAAATATTTTCATATGCTTCAATTGATTCAAATCTATTTTGAAGTGAAAAAATAGTTTGATCTACTCTACATAAAATCAACTCTAAAAGATTCTTTAGGGGACTTTGTGATTTCACTATTCATATTTTCATCAAATTATTTCTTACGAAATTCAGGCTTATTTTCATCTTATTTGCAATTTTCTTAGTAGAAATCATAACACTCACGGTACATATAATTTTATTTTTTTTTAAAATTACATATATAAATAATTATTTTTTAAAAATAGGGGCGCAGAAAAATATATGAAACTCCAAGCAATGACTTTAGTGTAGGGGTTAAGACGGCCCTCGTGGCTTTCTAAGACTCTGTGAAAAGAGAAACTGTCACCATTAAAGCCAGAAACTTGAATCGGTCCCCTGTTTTTTCTCCTTGACTTGCTCTGCATGCAACACTAAATGCTTTCTCTTTTGTCGACTACCCTCAATTTTGCTCTCTGTTTTTTTATTTTCAAAATTGTTCTTCTCCCAAGAAAAAAAGAACATTCCTTTAATTTGCAATTATAGGTCAATTTATTCGCATTTTTAATGGGGTTTTATCAAGATTGTAGCAGCATTAACTGTTTGGTAGCTCAATCTTGACTTGTCTGCACATTTAGACTTTAATGCTTTTCATTTTCACTGAACTAGAAAGGGTCCACCCATGTAATTTTCTTATTCATGATTAGCCAAGAACGTAAAATGGGTTGCTTCAAGATTGTTGGAAACTTGGCTCCATTTTGAAGTCACTGTTAAATGGGTTTCTTCAAGATTTTTGTGATAGTGTTGGTTATTTGCGCTTTCTTTATAGCAAATACTTATCAGTTACAGTCCTATGAAATTCAAGCTCTTCTTCAGTTGAGGAAGCACTTGGAATATCCAGTTCAGTTGGATGTTTGGGAGAATTACCATGGAGATTTTTGCAGCTTGACTTCAACACTGCATATGAGCATTACCTGTCAAGATAACTCTGTTACTGAACTCAAAATTAAAGGAGATAAGTTAGTTAAGTTGAATGAATTTCATGGATTTGCAATTCCAAACCAAACATTATCTGAGGGTTTCTCCATTGATTCTTTTGTTACCACATTGACAAGGCTAAGTAGCTTAAAGGTTCTTACTTTAGTTTCTCTTGGTATTTGGGGACCCCTTCCTGATAAAATTCATAGGTTAGCTTCACTTGAACTTTTGGATATGAGTTCAAATTTTCTATTTGGTTCTGTTCCTTTTCAGATGTCAAGATTGATTAAGCTTCATACTTTGACATTAGATGCCAATTTTTTCAATGAAACTTTCCCTGATTGGTTTGATTCTTTACACAATCTTACTATATTAAGCTTCAAGAACAACAGGTTGAAGGGTCAGTTTCCTTCTTCAATGTCTAAAATCACAACCCTCACTGACATTGTTCTGTCACACAATGTGCTTTCTGGTAAATTGCCCGATTTAACGGCCTTGTCTAAGTTGCTTTTGTTGGATTTAAGGGAAAATCATTTGGATTCTCAATTGCCACCCTTGCCAAAAGGACTTACCACAGTTCTTCTTAGCAGTAACGTTTTTACGGGTGAAATCCCAGTAGAATTTGGCACACTAAATCAACTTCAACACCTTGATCTGTCGAATAATTCTCTCAGTGGAATGCTGCCTGCTGGCTTATTCTCTTTGTCTAGCATTAGTTACTTGAATTTAGCGTCTAATGTTCTTAGTGGTTCACTTCCTAGCCAGCTCAATTGTGGGGGTGAACTTGGTTTTGTTGATATTTCTGATAATAGATTAGTTGGTGGGCTTCCTTCTTGCTTGAACACTATTTCAGATAAGCGAATTGTCAAGGTTGGTGGAAATTGCTTGTCTCTTGACACTCAATATCAGCATTCAGAGGGCTATTGTAAACAAGCTAATTCGGATAAGAAACAGATCACAGGAAAACAAATAGCATTGTTGGCAGGTGTTATTGGGGGAATTGTAATTGTTGTGGTGTTTCTGTTAGTTGTCCTTTTCATCTTCCGTAGAAAACGACATGCGCGTAACATGGTGGATAAGCACATTCCTCCGAAAGTTGTGCAAAATACACAGCCCAGGGTTCCCTCTGAACTCCTAGCAAATGCCAGTGAGTTGATGTTTTTCTTATTTCATTTTTAATCTGTTTAATTTATATGAAGGAAATGTTCTCCAGAAAAGCTTGATCTCAATCTTCGAATTCTCAGGAGTCATTTCTCAAGTGGCAAACACAGGATCACAAGGTGCCCCATCATATAGAGTGTTCTCCATGGAAGAATTGCTAGAAGCAACAGAAAATTTTGATCAGTCAGCATTACTTGGTGAAGGGTCAGTTGGAAAAGTATGGCTTCAAAACAATACTTATGGTTCTCATTGATAATATATATCTTGATGTTTTCCATTCAATGGTCACGCTGAATTTTGGCTCAAAGTGATATACTTGCTGTAAAACTTGAATAAATGAAGCAGGACGTAGAGTTTGTTGCGTAGACCATGTCCAACAATGATAATGCAATGAATGCACTAGTTCACCAAAGTACAAAATGGATTTGGGTGTTGTTTTTTTTTAAAAAAAAGTGCTTGCCTATCATATTCTCATTCTACATGTGTATCTGTGACTTCTTTTGATGATAAAAACTGGTGTCACCAATAATGCTTTTGTGCATTTGATTTCATATCTAATGAACACATGACAGTTCAACAAAATATATCGAATGCCCTTAAAGGCAAAATTAGATAGTCTCACACGTTTGAGTGCCTATGCAGTGAGTTGACATCTCTGCTATTTTGATTGACATAAACAGGTGTTAGCCTTATTATGTCTTGCTTGAATAAGACAGTTATTTTAGTTATCAGCAATTTCCTCAATATTTATCTCCATTTCAGATTTACAAGGGAAGATTAGAGAATGGAGCTTACATAGCTGTAAGGTCACTAAATGTGTACAAAAGATACTCTAACCGGAACCTCAAACTACGATTGGACTTACTGTCAAAGTTTCGTCACCCCCATTTAGTTAGCCTTCTGGGTCACTGCATTGATGGTGGAGCACCAGATGATTCAACTGTCCCCAGAATTTTTCTCATTTATGAATATATCTCTAATGGAAACTTCCGTGCTCATCTATCAGGTCAGCTAAGTAAATCCTTTAGCATGAGCATTGCATGTGTTTTGATGCTTGGTTGAATATGGAAATATTATATGCACATATGGAGTGCTGGTTTGATTCTTTTCTCCCAGAAATGATTGGGATACCCTTGTTGATGAATCTCTATGTAGCATTGCAAGTATTTTTGCTACTTATGAGCTTGAGGCATCTTATTCATCATATTAATTTCACACATAGTGGTATTCAGTATGCAATTACTGTCAGTTTGATTGAGCAACAATGTAATGATTCACTTACACGAAGTTCTGTTGGTTGAATTTCATACTGAGTTGGACCTTTATTTTTGTTGTTATATACTTTCATTTAACCCTGCATGTCCAATAAGTACAGAAAATACAAGAGACACGCCATAATGTATTCAGCTTTATCTCAAACACTTGTACTTGCAGAAAATAGTTCAAGAAGGATCCTCAAGTGGTCAGACAGGTTGTCGGTGCTGATTGGTGTTGCCAAGGCAGTGCACTTTCTTCACACAGGTGTAATTCCTTCTTCATTTAGCAACCGCTTGAAAACGAGTAACATATTGCTTGATGAGCATAACATGGCAAAATTAAGTGATTTTGGGATGTCCATTCTTATGGAAGAAAGTGAAAAGGTGGGTATTTTAATATTTTGTGTGAAAGGTGAAAATTCAAAATTTAGAATAGATGGTAATTTCTCATACTCAATATGTCTTTTTTCAGGCAAAAGGAGATGACGTCACCTCCTGGTATGAAACTCTTCACTCATGTATTCCGTAACGTGCCTTAGCAACTTCCTTTTGCTAAACCAACTGGGATTCTATTTCAAGAGTGTCAACTAGAGGCATATATATCATCTACTATAGCTGTTTGCAGGATATAAATCAGTGATATTTTATTCTTGTGTAGGCATATGACAAAGAAAGAGGACGATGTTTATAACTTTGGTTTCATATTACTGGAGTCGCTGGTTGGCCCTTCTGTCAGTGGAAAAGGAGAAGCATTTTTGATGAATGAAATGGTATGAAACTGCTATATTATTATGTATGCAACTCCTTTGTCATTGACAGTAACGTAAAGTATTCTTCAGCAATGTTCCCTTTAGGATCCTAAACGTTCTTGCAATGTTGGATAAGTAACAAATTTTTCGTTCTCTGCAACCTAACTTTACAATCAGTACTAATATAGATTAACAGAACTACACACATTATTCAAGTTTTATTAGGTAAACCTCTGATATGCAAGTACCATAGGGAGAAAAGTTGAGCCTGATATACAACAGTCAAAAGTCTTGATTTTTTCACTGGTGTGTTACATAAATATCTCTGGATTTTCTCTTTGAATGACAGGCATCCTTTGGTAGCCAAGATGGTCGACGCAGAATTGTGGATCCAATAGTGCTAGCCACTAGCTCCAATGAGTCATTGTCAATTGTAATATCCATCACCAACAAATGCATATCTACAGAGTCATCAACTCGCCCCTCGTTTGAGGATGTTCTCTGGAACCTACAATATGCTGCTCAAGTTCAAGCTACAGCTGATGCAGATCAGAAATCTGATGCTACTTCACCGTCATAAGCTATTTGAGAAGTACAACTGCATCGAATCAACGATATTTAATTTGGTCAGAGCATAGGAGAATGTTAGCTGATTAATTTCATGATGGTTGTGGGAGTACCAACCGGTAGGCTAGCCTTAAAGCTCAAGTTTAAGCTACAGGTCCTCCCATATTTTCTTTATTTTGTATCAGAATTGTAAATTTTGTTGATTCTAGTAATAGGTGATGTTTTCATATAGCATAGACCCTCGTTTTAAATTCTATCATTGCAAGTAGGCAATTGAACTCGTAGAAGTCTAGATTCAGACAAGACAATACTTTAGTCATCATATATATGTTTGGTGCAACGGAAAAAAGATATGGAAACCGCAAATGCAAGACATTATTGACTAGCTATGCCATCAATTTTTTTGGTGCCTGCTGTTTGGAGAGCAGTTGGTTGAGAGACCATACTAATATATAACTTGCACAGACATTGAAGGACAAAAATAGGCAACATAATTACCAAATGGTAAGTTCCAACTTCATTAATGCCATAAGGCTTTCAATTTATATATATAAAAAAAACATGTTTATAAAAGTTTAAGAGGGCTACAAAATTAAATCCTCAGGAAACAAAGACTTCAATTTCTAAATTGAGAAAGAAAAGTTGGGGGGAAAAAGTAGAAAAGTGAGGACAAAATCAAACAGTATTATATTAGGATGGGTCGCTGTTGAGCAGTACCGACAAGGGCCATATTTCGTTTCATCATTCTTTAATATGGACGTGCCACCAACTAAAATCTTAGAATCTATTTACAAAACCTTCATTTTCATATTTCGTGGTTGTATTGTGTTTCACATATTTATTAATGTCCTCCACTTATTTTTAAAGAATTTAATCCATTTAAACGTTATAAATAATATTTACATAATTATATCACTTAGAATATAATTATCACATAATATTTTTACAGTAATCATCAATAATTGATAACATGAAAATGATAATCAACCAACTTGTTATATACGGACTTAAATTATATTAATAGTGCGAAAATCCTTACAAAATTATTCAAATTCATTTATTCCTTTTTCAATAATTGAAAACACGTATGTAGTAGTATTTGCAATTCTATTCAGGTAGTTTCAGCTCTATGAATTATCCTGTGAAAAACATTTACTAAATTGGTAAGTTCGAATTTTGAAAATGAAATTATTTTGTCCGGAAATAGTAGTTGGTATGGAGGTGGGAGAAGTAAATAAATAGAGTATGAGGAGTTGGCGTATGACCCCAATGTCGGCGGAATCATTCAAATCCCAATTTCAAGAACTACCCCACCCTTCTCATATACTATAACTACACGCGCCTTTCTAATTGCACGCCCACGCCTTTCCGAACTTTGAACTTTCTTTAAAAAAATATCCAATAACGTTTAATATTAAATTTTGAGGAAAAATGAGTAGTTAATGCTGACAATAAAAGAAAAAAATAAAATACTTTCATTTTTTAAAATTTATTTATCTAATTTTGACTTGATACCAAATTTTAAAAAGTAAAAAAGGACCAAAGGTCCAAAAGATTTATCCCAAATTTGGGCATTTTCTTGTTCTTGCTATTATTGATTTGTTTGTAGTCTTAAATACATTATGTGAAAAGCTATAACAAAAAGTTAAAAAGAAAAAAAAAAGGCAATTAACTATATGAAAAATAAAACAAATAAATTTAAATTGAGGAAATATATTTTTCTGTTGATATGTTAAAACTTAAAATTGGTAAATAAAAATATAATTTTAATATAGTGGAAGTAAAATGAATGCAATTTCATTTTAGCTTTCATATCCTTAATGTGTAAATAAATAAGGGAAAAGGGCATGATATTAGATATACTCCTCAATTTTGTCATTTGGAGTTGATATGCCCCTTGTTATCAAAGTGGCTCATATATATCCTTACCGTTATACAAATGGCTCACATATACCCCTACTGTTATAAAATGAGCTCACATATACCCTTCATTTAACGGAAGTGAAAAAATTAGTTTTAAATTTATATTTTTGACTTTTAACTTTCTTAAAAATTATTGAGGGGTATATATGATTCTTCTAGCAAAGTTCAAGGTATATTTTAATCTTTTTCATACATAAATTATTTTTTGACTTCTTTGATTATAATTATTTGAGTTTCTTATTCTTATTTTATTTTTTTCTTTCATTCCTTAGTGTAAAGAAAAAAATTTAAAACTATTTTTTTTTGTCTATATTGTAATTTAATTTTTGTATTTGAAGAAAAAAATTTGGTCATCTATAATAAGTTTTACAAGTGAAACATAAATAAATTTGATCATCAAAATAATAAATCTAAATTAGTCATTAAAACAAAAAAAAGTCAAAAAAAATATGTTTGAGGAGGATTAAATATACTCATATGGGATTATATTTTTTTTTAAAAATAAAAATAAAAAATCAAACTAAAATTAATTTTTTTTCATTTCCGTTAAAGGAAAAGGGTATATGTGAGCCATTTGTATATAAATAGGAGTATTTATGAGTCACTTTAATAATGAGGGGTTATATCAACTGTATCAGACCCTTTTCTGAATAAATAAAGATGTCGAAACTGTTGTTTGTATTGCACCTTCTTAATTGCGAGTAGAATCTCTCGGTACTTTGGGACAACCGGAAAGCACCATTGGTTTTTAAGCATCAGCCTCTACCACTCGACGTTTGTACTTTCCATGCTCATTTCTTTATTTTACTTACTTGTTTTCTTCCTTCAATATTTCCCATTTTTCAATTAGAATAAACATTCTTCTCACTGCTCACCCTCTCTAGGCCTCAGACACAACTTGTCGGCAATGTTCTATGCCTTCTACTCTCCTCCTCAGTATGTCTCCTCCAAATCTTGCAATTTTTTTAATTTTTTTTTATGTTTTGAGTTCAAGCCTCTCTTCTTTCTTCTTATGTGTGTAATGCTTCATTTTTGTACTTTGATTTGCTTTTTGCTTTTTTTTTTCTCTGCTTAACTTGATTAATGATTTCTATGGAACTTCATTTCATAATACATTTGATTTTACTTCCAACAGTTTGTTACTTACTTTTCTGATTTCTATGGGTTATTGATTGGCATAAGCATTTAAGGTGAGTGTTAAAAAGTCCATTGTAATTGTTTCCGGAAAGTAAAATGTGCTCTTTTGAAGACTGACAATGATATGTCATGGAAATATATGGAGTAGTAAGCCTGATACTCGAATCACGTGAACTCATTTATTCTGGAAGTTCTACTCACCTACTGCTGTTACTTTTTTCTTTTTTTTGTTGCTGATTTCCTTATCCAAGTTAGGTTGCATTTATTGTGTTCAACAGTAGGTTAGTCCAGTTTAGAAAAGATAGAATCAATGTGCTTTGACAAGGTAACAAGTTAAGTTTTGTTTTAGCCTTTGCAGGCTTTGTTAGAATTCCACTGAAAATCATTTTACATTTGTGTCTCGGAAATCATGGTTTCGGGACTGAGGGCGAAAACTAGGAAAGGTCCCTCAGTTCAAGTAGATTATCTAATTCATATTCAGGAGATCAAACCTTGGCCTCCCTCGCAGTCATTGAAGTCGGTACGTGCTATTGTGATCCAATGGGAAAATGGAGATAGGAATGGTTCTACTAGACAAGTTGTCCCATTTTTAGGCTCTGGTGTTGGTGATGGAAGAATTGAGTTCAATGAGTCCTTTAAACTACCTGTGACACTACTGAAGGAAATTTCTAATAAAGGGGGTGATGGAAACAGTTTTCAAAAAAATTGCATTGAGTTCAACTTGTATGAACCCCGACGTGATAAGACAGTGAAAGGTCAACCATTAGGAACTGCTATTATCAATTTGGCTGAATATGGTGTTGTTAAGGAGGGTTTGAATGTAAGTGCCCCTATTAATTGCACAAGGGCTTATAGGAACACTACACAGGCCCTTCTCTTACTGAAAATCCAGCCATTTGAGAAGGGTCGTGTGAGCTCCTCATCTTCAAGTGACATTTTAACGAGAGAAGTGTCAATAGACCGTAATGGTGTTGAATCTGTGTCTACATTGACAAGTGAAGAATGTGCTGAGGAAGCTGAGATTGCCTCATTTACCGATGATGATGGTTCCTCGCACTCATCAGTTGCTGTTTCTTCTTCAGCTAATGGATCGAACTGTGGTTCACTACCACAAGGAGAGGTATGATGCTTACTTTTCAATCTAGTTTTGTACTCTGCCGAATGAATTCACCTTATGTGATACGAGTCCTTCCCTTCTGTTGCTTCCAAATTGCATGAAAGGAACTTTTTCAGTTGTGTTTGTTTGATACACACTTTGTATAGGAGATGGGACGTTACTTCATGATATCCCTCTTCATATTAAACACAACTATTCCTTGTGCACATGTGCTTGACGTAATTTATGGTAGTTAATGCGCGGCATTGCCAATTCTGTAAACAAAAATACAAAATACTGAGTTGCTTGACACCTAGCGATCATTACAGGATGAAGCTGAGGGAGTGAAAAGTAATCCTGGACAACATGAAGATGAACATCTCCTACATTCAAAGAAAAAGTCTGTAGATTTGGATGAGAAGCAAGTGGTGATTTCATTATCTGATTTGAAGGAAAGTCCATATCCCTCTTCAACTGATTTGTCTTCTGATCTTGCATGGCTCTCAAGGAAAATAGGTGGTAGTGGTAGCAATAAATTCTCAACATCAAGTGAGAATGAAATAACTGAAAACTCTCAGAATCCGCGGGTGATGACCAAACATGTTGAACCAGTACAACGAATGGAAAGAATACTGGCTAACAGTGAAAGTGGTGGTGAAATATATACTCCTCAAAATTCTGAGGAAGGGAGGCTCAATAGTCATCTAGATCAAGAAGTCTTTCCAATTTCACATATCACAGATGAGAGTAAAAGCTTTATGAACTCAGCAAGTCATTTCTCCAGTTCTGAGAATGCTGATAATGCTTCTACTCCTGTTGTGGATAGGCATGAGGATGTGAGAGATATTGTTACCAAAAATGGTTCTTATGAGGGTGAAAACAGTGAGAATTATCAAGAGAGGAGGCAGGAATCTAGTGTCTATAATATAGAGAATTATCAGGAAAATGAAAAAGTACAAGAAATTGTCGAAGAGGAAGAAAGTGAGGATGCTATGAAGAATGACTCAGAAGAAAGTGACGTAAATTCTACTGACTCTGAGAATGCTTCTACTCCTCTTGGAAATAGACATGAGGATGTAAGAGCTGTTGTTACCAAGAATGGTTCTTATGAGGGTGAAAACAGTGAGAATTATCAAGAGAGGAGGCAAGAATCTGCTGCCCATAATAGAGAGAACTATCAGGAAAATGAACAAGTACAAGAAATAGTCGAAGAGGAAGAAAGTGAGGATGCTATGAAGAATGTCTCAGAAGAAAGTGACGTAAATTCTACTGACACGGACAGTTATGGAGCAAAGAGTAGTATCCTGAATAATGAGAGATTAAAGCATGTAAAGTCAGTTAGGTCATCAGCAGAACCTAATAGAGTAAGAGGGTCTGTCTGGGGCAATCAACTTTTAGCACAAGATAAACAGATTAGTACTCAAGGTTTAGCAAACGAGTGGAAAGATCGAAAGGCGCATTCAACAATTCTTTTGGAAAGCAAACTCCATAAGTTGGAGCAAAGAGTAAAGATGGCAGAAGGAGAATTGAGAGAAGCTGCTGCAATTGAAGTTGGCCTCTATTCGGTTGTTGCAGAGCATGGGAGTTCCACAAATAAGGTTCATGCTCCTGCTAGACGCCTGTCGAGGTTCTATTTCCATGCTTGTAAAGATGACTCTCTATTGAAAAGGGGATCTGCTGCTAAAAGTGCTGTCTCTGGATTAATTTTGGTTGCAAGAGCATGTGGAAATGATGTTCCTAGGTACTTCCTAGTTTCCAATCATTTTTTGCATTTAACTAGCAGTTTTGTATTTTTAACTCCACACACATATAAACTTGCACATTCTTGCTAGAACAAGTTTTCAATAACACGTACTCCCTCTGATTTAATTTGTTTGTCTGATTTTGACTTGACATGAAATTTAAGAAAGTAAAGGCACTTTTGAATATTGTGGTCTTAAACTAAAGATATGTAGAATGTACCAAAATGCCTTTTAATCTTGTGGTCTTAAACATGCCAAAATTGGAATTAAAGAGTAGCCAAAAAACAGAAGAAAGGTATTCTTTTTGAAACGGACTATAAAGGAAAGTAAGAAAAATAAATTGAACCAGAGGGAGTATTTTGATATGAAAACCTAGCTGCAACCATATGACAGTACTTTTGAAATTCTTTCATACACTCATCTCCAAGCAACTTTGCAGACCTGTGATGGGTTATCTCTTGGTCTTAACATGAGTACACAACAAGCTATTTTTCAAAGGCTCAAGGACTATAATATCATCACCTTTTATTATGGAAGGAAGCTAAGTTGTATGCCCAAGAAAGTATTTATGATTTCCCCCTACTTATTCTTATTTTATGTCTGAGCACAGGTTAACTTTCTGGTTATCAAATTCGGTGGTGCTGAGAGCAACTATAAGCAAATTCCAGAGGCAGCTGTGTTTGCCCCGTGCTACTGAAACTATGCTTGGAGAGGCTGTTTCCAAGGACAAGAAAAATATATCTTCCCCACTTAAGTGGGAGACTTTTTCCAGCAATGTTATAAGGGATGATTTTTGTGAAAGTTTTGGTAATTGGGAGGACCCTCGTACATTTACGAGAGCACTTCAGAGAACAGAGGCCTGGATATTCTCCCTTATCGTTGAATCTATTTGGTGGCAGGTCTCTCTTCCAGGTCCATTTGAACTTTAAATTAGAAGAATATATTATCTAATTCATTAATACGACTGCCCTTTTATTTTTCCAGACTCTCACTCCACATATGCAATCTGGTGCTGCAAAAGAAATCCGTTTAAGTATGAATTCTTTGATAAGCAAAGTTTATAGAAGGACAGCAAGTTCAGATAATGAAGAGCATGGAAGTTATTCTTCAGAGCTTTGGAAGAAAGCCTTCAAGGATGCATGTGAAAGGATTTGTCCTGTTCGAGCTGGAGGGCACGAGTGTGGTTGTTTGCGTTTTCTATCTAAACTGGTACTAGCGGGCACATTGTCCTTCAATATCTATTTTAACTAATTATTACATGTAATATTATTAGTCTGAGTAAAACTTAACATGCTTGATATTCTATAATATTTCTAGTTGCTGAGAATGTCATTCTTGTAACCAGATAATGGAACAATGTGTGGCTAGACTGGATGTAGCTATGTTCAATGCAATCCTTCGAGAGTCTGCTGATGAGATTCCTTCAGATCCTATATCAGACCCTATTAGTGATGCCGATGTTCTTCCTATTCCAGCTGGACAGGCAAGCTTTGGGGCGGGGGCACAACTGAAAAATACGGTAAGAATTACAGTTGGATTTTGCCCGGTGAAATGAAATAGTAGAGTTTAGACGTGACGATAGATAGCTACTTTCCTGTTGTTATGAAAAGTGTTGTCACATTTAGAAGCCTTTGATGGAGGGAAAGTTTATATTTCATTAACCTTCTTTTTTACTTATCAAAAAAAATAATTAGCCACGTCACTTTTTCCCTCTTAGTATCCAATATAAAGGAAATTTTCAATTACAGACTTGTTTACCAATTACAAACCTCTTATTTTTCCTAACTAATTTTTTCCCTATTTGTTCATTCAACCCCTAATTTTCTGCATGTACATTCTAATGGACATTACGTAGATTTCATGGGAAATGTTCGTGAAAAATTATTATTTATCCTTTCATAGAGATGCAATTTTTTCCATGTGGATCACAGGTTGGGAATTGGTCCAGATGGCTAACTGACCTTTTCGACATTGATGATGGGGAATCACTAAAAAATAGTAATGAAGAGAATGGGAGTAAAGAACTTGACACCTCTGCAAAGTCTTTCTACCTTCTAAATGCATTGAGTGATCTTATGATGCTTCCGAAGGATATGCTTTTAAGCAGGACAATGAGAAAAGAGGTCAAACTCAGAACCCCAACCATTTGAACTTCGTTTCTTTATTTTTTCCCCTCTTTAATATGGTGCTGTTTGTTTCTTCAGGTATGTCCGGCACTTGGTCCATCACTAATAAGAAGGGTTCTTAATATATTTGTTCCAGATGAGTTTTGTCGTGATTCAATACCTGAAGCTGTATTTGAGGTTCTTCTCTCAGAGGTAAGTTCTTCAGCTTTATCTGGAAAATATTCGTCGTTTATTTTCCAAGCTGGAAGTTGAAGCTAAGGTAGTAGCTGGAGTATAATGTCAAGTATTTTATCGATGAAGTAAATCTTACAAGTCATATTTGTTTCCCCATTTTCTTGGCTAGGAACCTTCTGAGGCTGAGGATGATTCTGTTACAAACTACCCATGCACAGCAGCTCCTGTGGCTTATATGCCACCTCCAATAGCTTCAGTAGCCGGTATGTTGGGTGATGGTTATAGCTATTCTATGTTGACAAGAAGTGCATCTTCAGTGCTCAAAAAGTCATACACAAGTGATGAGGAGCTTGAGCTATTGGATTCACCCTTGAATTTTATCATTAGCGATGGCACTGAAGCTTCACATTCTTTAGCAAAACAGAGTTCCATGCCAAAAAGTAGTGGAAGGCAGAGGTATCAACTCCTTCGGGAGGTTTGGGATAACAGTGAGTAAACTGAGTAGTTGTGGTGTTAAAAGATCGTTCTTGCTTTTCATCTTAAGTAAGATAGGGATCAACGATGAGAGTATGATTTGTGGATATGAGAAGCACTTGTTATGTATCTTCACGTGTAGATATTGAAGGAGTTAGGTGTCTGTAGAAATATTTGATAAAGTTGAATGGAAAAAAGGTGTTCTTCTTTCCATTTTGTGATTGAGTTATTGCAGTTGAATCTATAATACATTTTACTGCTTCATAATGTATACTAGTTTTCATAGTTACTTCACCAGTATAAACTCACTGATCCCAAATTGTTGTCATAAAGGGTTTTGAGTCTTTTGAAATTCTACTACAAAGTTCACACAGCAAACCACACTCAATTGTTATATAGATAGGAACATTTTACAAACTCTATTTTCTGCTAGAGATTCATCGCTATAACATGGTTACTCTCGTAAACAAGAATAAAACAATAACTAACTCTACATTCCCGGTCAAAACTGATTTTGATACACTCATATCACTGCACCTAATATACTTGCAAAAAGAATTAAGTATCACAGGAGAATCAAATCAGCATCCTGCAGTCAACTGTGTCGAACCAACTGCACTCATCATGTGTTGAAGTTGCAATGCAGCCAAAAGGCCTCGCCATGTTTCTGCAGTCCCTCCTGCTACTTGATAATTGAGGTGCTTCTTCTGCTTCCTATAGTATTCTTCTAAGCGTTTGATCTTCAAAATTATATACAGAACAATAACATGTATTAGTTGCCTTTGTAGTTCAACTGAGACAACAATGAGTAATAACTCTGCGGCATCAAGGCCACCTTAAGATGGTAACAATCATCATTACATACACAATACCAAAATATAAAGCTGAGACTAGATTTAGATTCATCATCTGTGAGACACATGCAACGCATTTATATAAATTAAGGCACAGAGTAAATGTGAATGCATAACGAATTGAGTGAGAACCAAAGTAAGCTAGTGTTTGAGATATATATTTTGACATTGTTATATAAACTCTTCCCAACTATGGATCATGAACTCACCACATTAGCTTTAACTTCTGTCAAAAAATATTTTGTTCATATATTTACAGTAATAGAACTGCTAGGCAATCTCAAACCCTAGCTTTCTCAAATGTTTTGTGGCTACTGTTATTCTTTAACTTGTAAAATTTACAATATGTCAGATAGATACCTGTTCATCATGATCATATCGCTTCTCTTTCCAGGCACCATCCATGACCCTTGAAGACATTAAATTACTTCTCTTAAGGAGTTGATCTTCCGCTGCATTGCTTCTATCACTCTTTGACACATAGGATGAGTCGGAACACTTGAGATTCAGAACTAAATCTATGTCCACAACTTTGTCAAGGATTTCCTATATATATATTGCACAACAAAGCATGAGAAACGACTCCATTTTTCATGAGAAAAATAAAGAGCGTTTAAGTGAGCAGGGAGAGGTATACATACAGCCTGAAACATTGTACGAGGAATTCCATCTAAAATGAACCCATTTTCACCTCTACAATAACCTTCTTCTAGCCTCTTTGATAACAAATCAAAAATAACTTCTTCTGGAACAAGCTTTCCCTCATTCACAACACTTGATATCTTCATACAACCATAATTATTTCAAACAAATTAAAGCATCGTGTCACAGTACTAGATCAAATAAAAGAGGCGTTTTTTTAATGCTTTGGATTGAAAATATTGTACGAGTATATAACTTGAATTCTAAATAAAAACTGAACCTTCTAATGAAAGTACTATTCCAAATCATCCATCAAAACTGTTGCGTATGCAAACAAAGTCTCATATTAAAAATATTGGGAAGTTACATATAAGATGGATGATCGATCTCTTAATGATTTTGAGGAAAACCGTACTGCCAAAATGCGAAACGTTGTTAAAAGAGAAATAAATAGGTACCTTGTTATATTGAGGGTTGAGTTCTTGACGTACGAGAGAGCCCATGGAAATATATGGAACGTCAACAAGTTTGGATAGCCATTGGGCATACACGTGTCTCTGCGTCATTGGATCACCCATGATCAGCCACTGTACTCCTCTGCGTGGAACTGATCCTGATGGTTCCTCCTCATAGTCGTAATCGAAGTGAGCTGCAGCAGCTGAGCCGTAGGCCCGAACCGACTTGCTTGAAGCGGCCCGAAGAAATGGTCGGGGTGAAACTCCCAGGAAGCTCAGCATTGCCATGGCCTGTGGGAGAAAAAAAAAAAGTGTAAATGGTGGTTGATTTAAAAATGGGAATGATGCTGAAAATGTGTAGGATTTAGGTGGATGGCATGAATGAAAGGAGTTGACCAATAAAGAAGGTGGATGTTTTTTAAAAAAACTAGACTCGGTCTTACGACTCCGATTTTCTTTGAGCTAGTCACAGGGCAATCAAATTAGTCGTTTAAAAATAGAATTTTATTCTTTAATTTATTTTTCACATGGACATATTTAAGATTAATTTAAAATTACAAGATTTAAAGATTTTTTTAATTTTCTAAATATCGTAATAAGTTAAACTCGAAAAAACAAATTAATAAAAAAAAATATATTCATATATCATTAACTTCTCTCCACAGACAATGGACAACAAAATCACTGTCACTTCAGTCTTTCTAAAAATGAACTTGACAGTGTAATTTTGTTATCCACGGAGAGAAGTTAATCTCTTAAAAATAAACTGAATTAGTGAAATATAATATTTTATAATTAAAACTTTAATAACTATACAAAAAAATTCTATAGAGTATAATTTTTCTGATATTTGAAAAATATTCTAAAATAGTACTGATCAACATCATTTAACTTTTAAAAATTATACTAACTACCTTGAAGGGTAACAGAGAATTGGTGGGCGTGGGGCATGCGCTATTGTAAATGACATGTGGACCTCGTGGAATATTATTTATTGTGTGTTTAAACTTTAAATTGATAATTTATAAAATAAAAAGAACCGAAAGAAAAGTAAAAAAAAATCAATAAAAACGCCCACCGTGGGGCTCGAACCCACGACCACAAGGTTAAGAGCCTTGCGCTCTACCAACTGAGCTAGACGGGCTTGTTGGTAAATTTTACGACTTTTACTAATTACAACAAACTACTCTGATCAGATTAAGTTATATTCTTCCCGCCCGGACCCCACCTCTCAAAAATATTACTCCAATTAATAAGTAGTCAATTAATAAGAGCTTCGAGAAAAAATAAACTGATAAATAAAAAAATCGTTTGGACTTTGAACTATTATTCCTCCTTTGGTTTCCTAGTCTCCTTCCCCATGACTTGGTACATTAGAATCAGCTTGTTTCTAGGTTTCTTCCCAATAGTCTGTTAAACCGTGCACACCTGAAAGTCCTGTCTACAATTTCCACCGATTGCCCTTACGCATGCCACACGGATTCTGCCGCGCTCAATATATATACCCTATATAAGGTTTCAACGATTTACTTCCTTATCAAATCTACTCTTGCAACCTTTCTATTTGCCTTATTGTTCTCTTTGATCATAAGACTAATTCATGGCAGAATACAAACAGCACCAACGCCTATTTGACCGTTTTGATGAGAACAGAGACGGGAAAATATCAGCTGAGGAGCTTCAACAGTGTGTCCATTTGATCGGGAAAGACATGTCATATGAGGAAGCAAAGGCTGCAGTTGAGCATAATGATTCAGACAACGATGGCTTATTGGATTTCGAAGATTTTGTGAGACTAATTGAAGGTGGAAGTGAAGAAGAGAAGGCACACGAGTTGAAGGAGGCGTTCAGGATGTATGAAATGGAAGGATGTGGATGCATAACGCCTGAGAGTTTGAATAGAATGCTTGCTAGATTGGGAGAATCAAGAACAATTGATGAATGCAGAGGAATGATTTGCCGATATGATATTGATGGCGATGGTCTCCTTAATTTTCATGAGTTTGAGATTATGATGCGTTGCTAGTATTACTGGGCCGTTGATTTCTCAAATGCTCACTTTATTATCTCACAAAGTGACCGTTGAGAAATCAACTCTGATACCGAGTTAGACACCTAGTTGTTTGCCCTTTGCTACTTTTCACATTGTTTTGTTTCTGCTTTCTTTGATTCTTCATTCTTTTGGTAGATCTATGTATAACTCATTCTTTCTGTATATTCGTACCAGGTTACATATACTTATTTGTAATTTCTCCATTAAAACCCATATTTTGTGCTTTTCATGTTTGGTAACACTACTACTATGATCTGTAATATTTTACCTTTGGGATGCCCTTTGAATCGACAACTTTTTATTAAAAAGTCAGAACATATTTGAGAAATGAACTGAAAATTGATCGACAACAGTAGCTACACAAGAAGATGACTATTGATTAAAAGTAGCTATATATATAGTTACTAAAGTACATAGTATTTACAAGTAACAGTAATATTAATATGCAGAATAAACTCTCTTCTCCTATTTTGCCTTGAGTACATAGGAAATCCAGAATTATGACTCATAAAAATCTTACAAGAAGTTAAACACCTGAAAAACTAGCCACTTTACAATTCACAGAATCACATGGTAGTACTGGTGGCTTCAGCCTTGAACAAAGGTTTGCAAGAGCTTTCGGAGATTATGAGTTGCTCCTCCCTTTCCAGTAATATTTCTTCAACCAATCTTGACAACTTCTCCACAATTTCACCAGCATTTGGTCTTAATGATGGCTCTTCCTCCACACATGCTCTAGCCAAATTTGCCAATGTCACTGCTGCATCAAATGAATAATTCTCTCCCAACGCGCTGTCTACCCATTCCCTTAGCTCATCAGCATTCTCTGACTCCAAAATAACCTTTATTTTCTCAGAGAGGGCAACTTCATCTTCTCCTTCAGTACCATTGCCACTTCTTATAGGTGTTTGGCCTGATAACACCTCAAGTAATATCACCCCGAAAGCAAAGATATCAATGCTCGGGGTTATGATTTCTTGTTTAAGGCACTCTGGCGCCAGGTAACCTTTTGCAACATCATCTTCAACACATCGAGCCATACCAAAATTACCAACTTTAGCCTTGAACTCTTCATCAAGAAATATGTTCCGGCTCTTTATTTTTCCATGAACATAAACAGGATCCATGATATGGTGCATAAATTGCAAGGCAGTGGCTACATCTAAACAGATCCTTAGCCTCTGATTCCATGTCAAGAAACAATCACATGAAGCAATGAATTGATTTTTCATTGCTAGACCACCATGAAGCCAGTCCTTCAATGAACCATTTTTCGCGTATTCAAACACCAAGAATGAATCAGGACCCTCTGTAACACACGTCCCTAAGAGCCTAATGATATTTGGGTGATGATGAATTGCATCGTTGAATAGCCCGAAATCTATTTTTGAGATACTGTTGGTCTGCATCTGTTTGATTGCCAAATTTTTACCACTGATCCGGCCATGGAATACAGAATCCTCGATAAGATTGGAGGAATCAAATTCCTCTGTTGCCTTGTTTATCTCTTCAATAGTATAGGTCTCAACCAATAGCTTATGTGGTGTGGCATCAATAATCTGACCATCAAGATCATTTTGAGACCCGTCGAATGAAACTTTCTTTTCACTAGTAGTTCTCACACTCAAACTTAACTTTTGTAGCTCCGTATCTCCTTCCTTACTCAAATTATTCCTTTTCCTCTTGAGAAAATAAAACAAGAAAACTGCTGCGAGCGCAACAATTGCCAGGAAAGCAACCACAGCAACAGCAATATAAACTCTCATCATCCGCATTTTGGTCTTCTTTTTATGTACTTTAGATGACGCGATACTTGCTGCTGGATATCCCAAATTCGGCTGCTGAGGTATTGTGAATGATTCAAGCTTGGGTTTACCTGTTGAGACATGATATAATTAAGAACTTAAACTTGTTACCTGTTGAGACATGATATAATTAAAGTGTGCTCGCTCTTACCTTCGAGAGGGATCAAAAGTGTTGAAGCTGGTGAAAGTCCTTCAGGTCTAAAACTGCCTCCTTGTGATCTTCGATTGACATCAATTATACTTTCAGCAGTCGTATTGAAGCTGATTGCTAAGGCTGCAATCGTATCTCCTTGCTTCACTGGGTATGAGAGCAGAAGTTTCGTCCGCAGAGTAATTTCTTCTGGAGAAGGACAAGCACATCTCAATGGAATCGACAACAGAATTTTCTCAGAGAGACCCCAAGGAGTAACATTTGGATTTTTCTCCTGAATTGCTTTACAAGTCGTTAAACCTTCCAAAGATTGAGCAATGCTGTAAAAGCTCTCACCTTTAATGGTGGTTTTCGTTAGCTCTGATTCAAAGAAACCACCAATGCATTTACAATCTAATGGAATTATTAAAGGCTGATCAATTGCAAGAAACTCTATATCAGGAGAAAATCCATTTGCTTCTCCGAGAACGTATAGATTGATACCTAAATAAGAGCTCAGATTGAAAAGAGAGTCGTAAAATGAATTAGTACGAAGAATTGCAAATGTCCCGCATTGTATAGGATGCACGTTACGGTCACATCGATAGCCAGAAGCAGATGGAGATTTGGACTCGCAGCTTAACAAGTCCTCTCCAAGAACAGAGAGAGTAACAAATAGTAAGAAAAATAGGAAAGCCCAGAATTGAAAAGCGGCTATCATAGTTTAATTAATTGAGTGAAGGACCACTCTATGGATAATGGAAGGGCATAAAAAGGTTGGTCTATGGCAGGGCAAAGAAATGAATATTTTGGATCTGTACAAATCGGCGTATAAAAAGGTAGAATATTTCGGACAAGAGTCTTGGATGCTACAATTCTTGTTTATATTTTTGAGTCTGCACTTGTTTCTGGCTACTCTTTGAGATTGTTTGGAAGCCGGTTAGAATTATGCAAGTGTTAATAATGTTGTATTAGTTATTTCATCTTCTACTCCGCATAAGCTAATACATCAATTCCCTCCTAATTTATACTATATGTATTAGTTATGCGGGTTTCTAAATTACAAACCAAACGTCATATTAATTTTAATACATGAATGGCTACCAAACAACCCCTATGTACATTTTAAATGGCTATCCGTCATGATTATCCCCTCAGCCACCTTAACATATTCTTTTTGGTTTTCGAAACTTTGTATTTATTTATTCGCATACATGAACTTGGAAAAAGGTCATCTTGCCTTGGAAGAATATTGAGCAACAAATGAATGTACAAACATTGGGGTAAGAAAAGCAAATGAAAATCTGATAAAAGTTTAGAAAACCAAGTTACTAGTAAGTTAATTGACCAGTGGGGCGGTCGGGAAGACCCCTCGTATGGCTAAATATATGGTTGTTAAGGGATATTTCTATATTGGAGTTAGCGATATGTGGTCACTTGGGAACAGTTATATGTATGAAGAAAAACAAGAAGAGTTAACCACATAATAGGGTATTAGGTTAGTATCTGAGTGGTTGTGTACAGGACACGGATTAGGGCAATAGGTAGTTGAGTTCAAATCGGTAGTTGTAGCATTTCACTTGTAGTTTCTTGTCCTTCAATTTATGTTATTAAATGTTGTTTTTAGTATTTTGTTGTAGTGATTGTTCGGAATTAATACCATGTTATGCTTTGATCACTTTTGTTACTTCTTTTTCTTAACTACTTAAACTGGTTTTCCTTGAACCGAGGGTCTATCTAAAACAACCTCTCTACCTCTAAGATAGGAATCATAGGATAATATATGTGTACACTCTACTTTCTCAACCAATATCACACACCAAGTGTTCAACATGTCTCCATGCGCAAATTAAGTCGAAATCATAATTTCAAAGAATTAATTCAGCGTAATAAATGCTCTCTTGTCTTAAGTTGAGGGTATGATAAGTGACGCATACAATGGACGAGCACTATATGCTAACAAAAAAACTCTCATTGACGAGACCTCCCGTCCTTTGCATGCATAAAGCAAAGGCATTTAAGAGACATTTCAATTTAAAAGATGATGACTCAAAATTCCATCTTCACCTATATATCTATAACCTACATTTCATATGGACCATTTCTAAGATTGTATCCAAAATTTTTAGTCTATGATCAATTCTGAATTTTAAAAAAATGCAACTTACTAGTTTATATATTAAGTGGAGAGTTATTTTGGACAAAAGCTAGATTTCTTTCATGTTTTTGGAGAAAATGTGGAAGAAGAAAGAAGGTGCACGTGAGATCACATGCCGACCACCATTCAGCAAAGCTATAGATAGATAAGCAATAAAGAAATGAAAAAGGCCCATACATACATAAACAGAGGTGACAAGTACGAGATCAGCATTCCCATTTCTGAGGCCAAAGGGAAAAAAAAAAAAAAAAAGGTTTCTTTTGTCGATAGACCCACGTGACCAAGCTAGTGCTAGTAGTAATACTTAATATATTAGTAAATGTTAGAAATTTGGAAAACGAGTTTTACTAATTCAATCTTCACCAAGTGTTGAGGAATCAAGGGTCTTAAGTACTAAAATTAGTTTATTAAACATGATTCGTGCAAAAGTAATTAGTTCATTCATTAGCTTAGTTCATTTTGATGTGTTCAATTCATTTTATTTAAAAGTTAGGCTACTTATTCTGATTTGTCAATTTTTTAAAAAGTTGTTTTATATTGTAGATTGCCATAATAAAAAGGGGAAAAAATATTTCATGATTAAAACATTATAAGAGTAATGTAACCTAACCCTTCCATTTTAACACTTGTAGTAGTGGAAATTGGGAAGCTGAAACTACACATCATCCTTAGAGTTTAATTTAGTGTTCCTAGAAGAAGAACGCACATAAGGTCAAAATAATAATGGATCTGATTTTTATTGGAAAAATACCAACTTCAGCAGATCGAAATATATTGTCATCAGAGTTGTATCTTTTTTCAACCCCATCTAGACAAACTTTTCACAACTTCTCGTATAGTCAACCTGACTAGTTGGATCCATTACTTGTTAAAATCTCCCTGAAACTA